ATTCTGTGTTGTTGTTGGCGGAGCTCTCTGCTACACATCCACCCGATCCGCCATCTTGTTTGTTCTCTCTCCATAGGATTTTTAATAGCTAATTTCTCAGAGGTAGATCACCAGGCCTTTCTTATGAGGCTCCTCTGAGTGGAACTGAACCTCTTAACTTTTTGGTTAGCAGCAGAGTGTGTGAACCATTCGCACCAACCAGGGACTCATTATGTTCCATGTATTATACATTCCCTTAAACAAATCACTCATCCAAGTATTGCTTATTTTAAAAATATTAATGCCAAGATTGCTTTGTACCCACCATTTCTGTTTTCATCCACATAAGTAGTTAGTATTGAGGTGTGCTATTTCAACATAGTAATGTGGCTGTAAGCTTTATTCACTCAGAGTCCTTTATGTTAGCTAATTTATTTAAAATAGGTTTATTAGGTGCTTACTTTAAGGAGTCCTAGTGTGGCACTGTAGGATAAGCACTGGGCTGCAAGGTCAGTTTGAACTACAAGGTCAGTGGTTCAACCCCATCAGCCGCTCCTCAACAACCCTATACAGGGTTGCTGTGAGTCGGAACTGACTTGCCAGCATGTAACAACAATTTAAGTTAGGTTCTACAGGGAGAAATAAAATGTTTAAGACAGTCTCTGCCATCATTTCAGGAGGAGAGGAATCCATGAGAAGGATGGAATCAATAGAACATAGTAATTGGATTTATGAGACAAGAAGGGGAACAAAGATGAGCCCAAAGTCCGGGTAGCTGGGGAGATGTTGTGCTAGTACTAAAATTAGGTCTGGATGGGGGTGAAAGAGATGGAGAAGGTGATAAGTTTAGTTTGCAGTGTATTGAGTAGCAAGTCCTTTTGAAAATGGGAGATCAGAGAGAAGACCATCAATAGTAAACCACACTGAGTGACATTGTCAGAGTTGAGTAACACAAAAATTCTTGGTGTTTTAGCCACAGTAGTGTGCTAATTAGTATTTGTGAGCTTATATCAGTAATTTTTTTGAATAAAGTAGTAATTAAAAGAAAAGGAGAAAAACCAAAAAGGGCTTCTGCTCAGTTTTTTAATGTTATAGCTAATAATGTTGTAATTCAGTGTAGAAACATTTAACAAAATAATTTTGTTGTTAGTATTCATATAATCTAAGAAAACTGTTTTTGACTTTATTTACCATGTATTATTCTATGATTAAAATTGGTAATAAACATTACTAGGCCTTCTGTATGGTATGGTTGGGAGGAGCGCCGTGGAGGAAGAAGGACACCAACCCTAGTGCTGTTACTGAAGCCTATGCATTAAAAGCTGTGGGGATAGATTAGTTAGTCTGATTGACTGTTAAGCAAAAAATATGAACCTAGAGGTAAAAAACAACAACAAAGAACCCACCTTTAGTGGGTAATGAAAGGCAGAAGAACCAGCAAAGAAGAAAGAACTAGAGCACTTAGTGGTTGTAATCAGGGTCACTTAGTATCTGAGTGAGAAGAGTCTAGTAAGTTACTGTAGATCCTAATTAGAGCAATTCAGTAGGTTATGTGCAGTATGAGATTGTTTTGTAAGGCTCCACTCCTTACCTGAGTGTCATAGAATGACAAGCCATATTGTGGAATGACTTAAAAAATAACATTTTAAACCAAACTTTTTTTCCCAAAGCAGTATGGTTGTCTTAATATTGTTCATCACATTATCATTTCAAGTTAAAAAAAAAAAAAATTAGATCCTATACCATCAAAGGTTCAGGACTTCTGACCTGGAAAGTTAAAAAAAGTATATGAGTAGAACATCATCAGTTTTCTGCTTGGTCAGGACTCTGACCCTGTTCCCAAGTTCTCATAATGTGGCAAGAAGTAGTAGATGAAACTCAGTATGTGACCCTGTGTGTTCAATGGGACAAGATGCTATCCCAATTATCCCAGCAATCTTATCTTCTAATTCTTAAAGTATGACTAGAGTGATCACATCTCCTTTGTGTTTACAGTGAGCTGAGTCTTCTGTACACTTTACCCAGAAGCACAAATTCCTCGTAGCAAACATATCCAATTTTAAAGCACCTTCTTATAAGTTTGTTATAATAAAGGACAACTTCATTGCCACTGTAGTGTATGTGCATTTTTGACAATGGCACTGTTATTTGGAACATTATAAGACTAAGAGGCCTTATAAAAACCAAGTGACAATTATTCATTTTGTTTCATATAAGTAAATTCTATTATCAAAGATAGAACTCCAGATTGCATATGATTAAAAAAAAATGTTTTCCTACTTCTCCCTACAGCTCATTTTCCTACAGAAACAATTGAAATATGTTACAAAGAAGTGAGAACTTTCAGCCTGACGGAAAAACATTGGATTCACCATCTAGACTGAAGACAGAATGATATTACATCTGTCCCCCTAGTTGCCTCATGTTTATTCCGTTGTATTTGTTTCTCTGAACCTCTTTACTAGTTAGAATGTATTCAAAGTTTGTAGTGATGTAGAAAGAGACAAACTAGAAAAAAAAAAAAAGTAGGCTTAAAGTCTCAGCTCAGGCATGGGGCTTTGCTTCTCTTTATCATTTTGAGAATAATTTACATTGCTTTGGCTCTATCATACCAGTAGAAGATTCTGCCACATTTGCCAAAGGCAAAGAGTGTAACTTGGAGGCCGGATAGCTAGTTTTTATAATATTAACTTTTCCCTCACCTATTGTTTTAAGTATTTTCTCCAACATAGAAAAAAATTAAGTCATTTCTACCAAGAGCTAGGGCCTGTCACAGCGAATTGAAGTGCCTACCTCGCAGTAGTTAACACTAGGCAGTGCTGTGTCTCTTTTCAGTCTGCTTTCCTGCTCAGGGATGGTTTCTTGCTGCTATGGCTGCCTTTATTCTGGTGTGTTTTTGTGATTATGACCAATCGTTATTAACCAGAGCAGAGATTAAGAAATTCTGAGCTGTTATTCTTATTCTGCACCTTCACATCCTAACCTCCATTAGAAAAGGTTAGGAAAAACAGATATCTGTGATGCTTATGAACAACCCAAGGTAGTTTTTATAAAGCTGTATTACTAAGGTGTTCTGATCTGTATTCTTTAAACAATAAAGTTTTTGTCTTAAATGGATTGTTGTCACTTTAGTAAACCACCCCCATGAAGAGAAGATCTTGTTGTTGGGTACCGTCAAGTCAGTTCCGACTCATAGCAACCCTATGCACAAGTGAACGGAACATTGCCCGTTACTGCGCCACCCTCACAATTGTTACACTTGAGCCCACTGCTGCTGCCACTGTGCCAATCCACCTTGTTGGGGGTATTCTTCTTTTTAGCTGACCCTCCACTTTACCAAGCATGATGTCCTCCAGGGACATATCCCTCCTGATAACATGTCTGAAGTATGAGATGAGACATGAAGTCTCGCCATCCTGGCTTCTAAGGAGCACTCTGGCTATGCTTCTTCAAACACAGATTTGTTTGGTCTTCTGAAAGTCCATGATACTTTTCATATTTTTTTCCAACACTATAACTCAAATGCATCAATTCTTCTACAGTTTTCTTTCTTCATTGTCCAAATTTTACATGCATATGAGGCTATTGAAAATGCCATGGCTTGGTATCATGTATCTTAGTCCTCAAATTGACATGTTTGCTCTTGAACATTAAAGAGGTCTTGTGCAACAGATTTGTCTAATGCAATACATTGATGGATTTCTTGACTGCTGATAGTGGATCCATGAGTGTTGATAGTGGATCCAAGAAGCAAAATTTAGTCTCTGACCACTTGAACCATTTCTCTATCATAATGCTATTTATTGATGAAGATTTTTATTTTCTTTACATTGAAGTGCAACCCACATTGAAAGCTGTGAAAAGCACTCATATCTAAAAGAAAACTCATATGAGACAAGCAACAAACTCTACAACTAGGAAATGACAATAGGCTACTGTCAGTACTGGGACATCCTTCTAAAGACCTCTTAATGTAACTCCTAATGATCTAAATAATCCCATATTAACCACATAGTATTGAATTTGGAGAGAGAGGGTATAAAGAAGAGTTTAAAATGTTTTATCTAGTATTTAAATTGAAGTGTCATGCTATAGTGGAATGAGCACAAGATTGAAATTCTAGCTCTGCCACTCTGCTTGGGAAAGTTCCTACAAATTTTAGAGTTTCTCATTCTTCATCTGTAAATTGAAGGTGATAATCCTTATTCCCAAGAGGCATCTAAAGGTTGTCTGGAAATAGCTCAGTTGCATCCAGTTATAGTCACAATTGATGAACTCGGGTGCTGCTCCAGGAAATGTACGCCCAAGTTATCTGTGCAGCATTTAGTCCTATTCAACGTCAGTGTTATAAGCCCAGGGCAGAGAAGAACAGGTCAGTATGTGTGGACAGCTTCTGTTGAGGCGGTATGAAGACAAGGCATGCTGGTGTGGAAATGCAAGGAAAGAAGACTAAGGGAGATAGGCATGGTAATGAGAGTAAACCAAATGAAGCCAAGATTAGGAGAGAAGTCAGCTTAAAAACTATAGTGATAAAAAAAATTTCCCCCAGAAACCCGGAACTGAGAATAAAAAGGAATAGGGGGAAGGAATTGAGTGCCAGAGGCAGAACATGGGAGTAGGCAACAAAGAGGGTCTTTCTAGATGAAAGAAGAGATGACTAGAGAGGAAACTTTGGGTACATGACTGGAGATACCAAGACCAGTGAGAATGATACATGTGCAACAAGTGCCAAACAGGCTTAAGAGGTAGAAGAGCCCTAGTCCAACCCTGTCTGATACTGTAGTCCAAGAGCAGCCAGAGCACTGCTGAGTGGCAGGGTGGTGGGGAAGACAATAGAATGGGGCAAGGGAAAACGAGTCTGCAGTGCCCTTTCATTCTGTTTGCTTCCACTTCTCATAGTAACCCAGGGTAACTGCTAAATCACTGTCTTCCAATAATCTAAGGCTTTTTGCTGCTTTGTCTCCACACCTCACCCCAACACACATTCACTGACATCTCATGAAGTTTTCCTTCTATAGCTCAGTGATCCTCAGATCTGCTCTGTCCAGTATGTTGCCGGTAGCTGTGTATAACTATTGAGCACTTGACATACAGCAAGTCCCAACTAAGATGTATAAAACACACATGGGGCTTCAATGGGGGAACTGTCTTTTGCCAGTGCTCTGCCAACCTTGAATGTATCCACATAGGCCATGAAGGCAAGGCTCACCAAAGTAAGCCAGGTCTTGGCAAAATGCCCTGTGATCTTCCCAGAATATGGGAAGACAGGCAGTCTTTGTTAGGAGCTGTTACAATACTGCTTGTCACTCGCCTCCCTATCTTAAGGGAGACAGTTTCTCATTCTCCTCCCTCATTCTGTTGAGGAATGGGATTTTTTGTCTCCCCCAACCGCATAGGGTACAGCTGAAGGCCAGAAAACTGCTTATCCAACGTATGAAATTGGGGCTGCTAAGCAGGAGGGTGCCCCCCCCCGCCCCCATGCTGTATATCATCTGTGTTGTCCTGTGAAACAAGGGACACAGGTTGCTGACACCATTGTTGATCTTGCTTTTATTGTCGATATCAGTAACATACTGTCTAAATCTATCTTCATTTCTTGTTTCTTTATTAGCCAAATCTGTTAACTTAATCAACAGTTTTGAAGACTTGATGATGGTGCAGGACCGGGCAATATTTTGATCTGTTACACATGAGGGGAGCTTCAAAAAGTTGATGGGAAAGTGAAATGAAAGGATAATGCAATAAACTGTTCAAAAGACTGAGAGAAAAAAAAAGAATGCAATTTTTTCACTAGGTTTTTGAGATGTTCTTGTGAAAGGTCATCCATCTAGAGTCAGAGTTACAGCTGACAATAGTAACAACAATACAAAAAAAATATGTAAAATGCATTAATCACTTATATTGATTACATGTCAAAGTGTTAATATTTTAGACATATTGGGCTAAATACTGAAATTGATTTTATCTTTATTTTCACTGTTTTAATGTGGCTGCAAGGAAATTCTAAATTATGTATGTGGCTCATACTATATTTCTGTTATATAATGGTGAGAAAATAAAAATTGGTGATGGGGGAAGAGTAACGGATAAGGTTTTATTTTGCTCAAAAATAACATTTAAAAAATTATCACCATGAATTCACAAGGACATCTAAAAACCAAATATTTACATGTTGATGTTGAGTGAGGGCTGTTGAGTTGGTTCTAATGCATAGCGACCTTGTTTAAGGTTTCTAAGGCATTAAATCTTGGTGGGAACAGAGGGCCTTCTATTTCTTCCACTGGTGAACTTGAACTGCCGACCTTGTGGTTTGAAGTCCAGCACTTATCCTGTAGAGCCACTGTGTTCTCAAATATTTATATAGAGAGCCATTATCTCAGAATAAAGGAGGTTGTTTTTGTTTTATTGTTGTTAAGTGTCATTCAGTCGGTCTTGACCCATAGCAACCATGTATAGGGTTTCCAAGGATCAGCTGGTGGGTTTGAACTGCTAACCTTGTGGTTCAAAGGCAAGTAATGATCTTACAGTGCCACACCAGGAGTTGAGAATAAAGGATAGACCTTTAAATTGAACAAATGTAACTTTAAGGAAAATTCACTCCGTTGTCCTGATTTCTCATCTTGTGAAAAATCCCTCAGATTGATTTAGATGATATTTAGGAACCATTTGCTCTATAGAGTTTATCCCATGAGGGGATGACTAGCTCATTTGTGTAGGTCATTGAGAGCAACCAATTCAGATAACAGTGGCAGGTGGGGCAAGTGGGGGCACCTTTTTTGTCCCTTATGTATTGGTCTCGTCTGGTGGTCTATATTTTATACCATTTCTGTGGCATCTTGGCCCACTCTTTTGCTCCACTCTCAAATAAGAAAGGATATGGAATACGTCAGAATCAAAAAGTATATAACCAGAAGAACCAAAGTAAACAAATACAAATTTATTCTTTTCAAAACAGAATTAAAGGGAAAGAGGGAAAGCACCACAGCGAGTGGCAATCAAAGTTAACCAATTTGTTCCCAGCTCCTGTCTTTCATTCCAAACTTTTCTAGACTTGCATGCCACCCTTATCAAGTCCCTTCTCCAACTCCCATCCTCATGACTAGTTCTTATAGCCAGCAAACAGCAGAATACTTCAGAATGGCCTCAATACTGCCCTGGCATTTGTTAAGACATTCTGCAGGTCCCCTTCTGTGGGAGCTGCTGTGGGAAGAGATAATGGCTGGAAGTTAGGCCCTGACCTTGAGCCTTACATTCTCCCACAGTTATTGGTTTTAAAAAAGTAAAGAGTAGCTGAAATATTCTTTTGTTCCCAGGGCTGTATTTTGGCAGGGAGGCCCAGAGATAAGGTAGCTAGCTGAGGTGCTAAATCTCAACCGTTTTAGAACAGGGCACCCAGTTTTTCTCCTAGGGCTGTTATCTGTTTTGGTTATCTGTCACCTATACCAAGGGAAATTCAAAGGGATTTGGGGCCTAAAATTTTCCCAGAGGCCATGTCTTTGCCACTGAGAATTTGAGTTTAAGGTCTTTCCTAGACTATCCTACAGAGCCACTGGATATGGATCCCAAGCCCCAAGCATACATCCCAACTAGGACAGGAATTCCTTAAAAAATGAATCTGAGTGGAAAACATCTCCCAGGATTGGACTCTGTCTGGCCCACTCTCTCTGTCTGGTGTTTCATTACCGTGGCCTGCCTGCCAGTTCTCAGAACACTAGAAACTCAAAGAGGTTTCTCTGGGAGAAAATGATTTTCCAACTTTGGGTTTTGAATATATGGGTACTTGGGCACTGAGAGACTTGATTCCAGCCTTGATTCTCATTCTTGAGGGAAGGGCACATGTGCTCTTGGATAGGACTCTGCCTAGGGAACCATACCCAAAGCCTGATAGCCTCCAGCCAGTCAGCTTTCCCTGGCAACTTCCCAGTCAACAGGATTCCACTCCACTCTAGTTTGGAACAGACCCACATCTCATAATGGCTTTTTGGCCTGTATTGGATACAGTAAAAAATTAATCATAACTGTTCACTGATATTATTTGCCAACAATCGCACCAAAGCATTCTTTATCACAAATGCAATCCCACAAGTCATAAGGCTTCCTTAGGCTACCCTACTCAAGATCCCCTTTCACCATCCTTCCAGTACAGGACAATAAACTACACAATATCACACAAAATACCTCTAGGAGACATGATACACAACAGATGCCTATTAACGAACAACACACTTCAGTAAATCCACCTCTAATTTGGATTCACAATGCTCAAGGATTCATTCACTTCACTGTGGGAAAACTGCCCACACATGCTGCGGTGACTGTCACTGGACCCTTGAGCAATATACTCCCCTCAGATATTAAGGTAAACACAGGGCCACAAAGTCTCAGTGACTTCCATTAGTGAAAATTCAACTGTTATGTCTATGACCTGCTGCTTCAGTCCACCTACAGCACAAATCCTACCTACAAGATCTAGATCTACATCTTTTCTACCATACCTGGCCTACTGCAGTTGCCACAGGCCCTCAGCAAACCAAGATCGCCACTCCCGCCCATAATCTAGGCCCCTAAAAATACATCCCAACATGTTTGATGCTCAGGCTCCGTTTTTGACTCCTGCTTATCATCCAAGTGTCCAGTTCTTCCACCCAGAGACCTCATGAATACTAAGGCAGATGTGATGTGAGGTCTGACTCCTGGACCTGTACTTAGTGCCAACTTAGAAGTAGACAATTGTAGGCTTCTGGACCCAAGCTGCTGCCCTACTTCCCCAACAGCAAACAAATCTAGCTTTCCAGAAGTTCTACCCACTGCTTGAATATAACACAATACACCATTTCACATCCTCGTGACCTTGTTGGCAACCACAGTTGTTGTTTGTTTGTTTAAGGCCCTGAGCCATACCTTATAAATTGGAAAGGGCCAAAGGATGTACTCCATGTTTTAGCCTGGAAAAGACCATTAAGGGTTTATTTTTTCCTTGTCTTCTGCATGGGGAGTGCAGAGTTTTGATGTGGTCTATCTTGGCATGTGAACCATTGTTCAAAGGAGCCCAGGAAAAGGCATCCAAGGTCCAGGTCTTAAGAGAATTTGATTTGGAAAGAATAAATTGACTTTTCCTGCTAGTTGCCTCTGTGGCCACAGACTTCTGTTGCTTCAATATTAAGAACACCCACCCCAAACATCATAGAGAGACACATCCTATGGGGAACAGTCCCAGATGGAGTTCCCCAAAAATACATCCACCTGTCCAACCAGAGTCTTAGGTTAATAAAGAGCAAGGCAGAACATTAATACTTCAAGAGATATTAGAATTTAATGTGTGAATGAGGCCCAGAAAGTATTGATGTAAAGTAGACATGTAGAATAGATACGTATGTATATAAATTTAGGCAAATTAAGTCAATTGCAGGGCTCTAGATTATAAAGCTCCTCTTGATACAAAGCTATCTCAGTGAATGCTGACTCTGAACTCAAAATTCCCACCTTCCTCCTCTGACTACTCTGAACAGTTTCTGGATAAAGGGACATAAGAATATATTGCCAAAGAAAAGTTAGTTCAGTATTCAGATAGGTTTACCTTCCAGAGTTAGAAAGAAAAAGAGTTGTATTCAAAGGAAGGCTTTATTGTTGTTGAGTATTTCAGGAAAGTGGCCAGCTTCTTGATTTATGGTCAGTGGCTCCTTGAAAGAGATCACTGCTCTGGATGGCCAGTTACATTTACCATACACAGTCACTTCACTTGATTCCACCTAAGAAAAAGATGGGTCACCTCTTGTGAGAATTTTGAATAGTCATACTCCTCCAGGCTAGAGGGTGGCTTCCCATTCCTCACATAAGAAAAACAAGACTCCCCCCGAGCAACTTACTAGCCCTCTCTTAGATCTAAGAAAGTGACTTCAGCTGAGTCACCAGAATAACTCTAGCTGGTCTGTTAGTTGTGGGGGAGGGAAGAGTAAGGATCCAGGGGAAAAACCTAAGCCCATAAGCATTTCTTTAATGTTTCCAAATGTGAAGTGGAAATGGAATGCACTATTTAATCCCTTAAGGAAGGTCTTTCAGTCTATAAGGCAAAAAGAACTGAAGATATTAGAAGAGGAAGCAAGATCTGGGTAGCATCAGGATGGCTAGAGATATGCCCTGGAGCTGAAGTAATATGACACACACTGCCCCAGACATTTTCAGGGGCACTTAGAAGAGCATCTCGGGGATATTCTTTTGCCGCACCCCCTCCAAGCTGATTGGGCCATTGTTGCTGTTGTTATTAAGTGACATATCATAGGTTCTGACTCACAGTGACCCTTTATAGGGTTTCCAGGGAGTGGCTGGTGAGTTTGAACCACCGACTTTGTGATTCAAACTGACCTGTGGTCCAGTGCTTTAGCCATATCAGGATTCCATAAAGTAGGGCTAACCTCTGTGGGTTCATTATTCTGAAACCCTGGGGTCATTAGGCATCTCTATCTCCACAATTCCATGGAGAAGAGAAAGGGGACAATGAGCACTGCTTAACTTTGCAAGATAACTTTTTTTGCTCCCCATCTGAATGGCCTTCAAGTGCCATTTGTCTGGGCTACAACAGAAGTATACTTAAGAGACAAGTCTCAAACTTGAGGATTAGCCCACCTCACATATCTCCAAATCCTTGCTGCTGCCTGGAGCCCATATAACTCTGGTTGAGGAAGGTGGAGCTATTAGAAATTGAAAGATTGGGTAAAGACCAAGGGAAGGCTTTGACCAGAACCAGAAGAGAGGCAAGGATTATGGAATGGGGATCTGGGTCTATCAAGAGGCCAGTAGGGTGTTGGCAGTCACATCAGAACTTCGCACACTGGGAAAGGCATGGCGAAGCTTCTCCATGATGTCTTCCAAGCACAAGCTGACATCTTTGCTCTTTGACCCCACGTCATCTGAGTTGAAAAAGAAAAGAGATTAGAGAAGAAAACTATTGTTGTTGTTGTTAAGTGCCATCGAGTTGGTTCTGACCCATGCTAACCCTGGATAGGATTTCTGAGCAGTGGTTGGTGAGCTTGAACCAGTGACATTGCAGTTCAAATGACTTTGCAGTCTAGTGCATTAACCCACAGCGCCACACCAGAATTCCTAGAAAAGAGAACTAGAGGTCCTTTTATCACACCAAGGGGTCCAGGTAGAATGCTGCCAGAAGAAGGGCAAAATCACAGCATTTGTGCCTTCCCAACACAATGTCTGTTAAATAAACATTTGTAGGATAAACAATTACCACTCATATGTTCGTTTGTCATACTGTGGTGGTTTGTGTGTTGCTGCAGTGTTGGAAGCTCTGTCACTGATATTTCAAATACCAGCAAGGTCATTTATGGCAGACAGATTTCACTGGAGCTTCTAGACTAAGACCCTACAAAGAAGGACCTGGTGATCTACTTCTAAAAAATATTGCCCAGTGAAAACCTTCTAAATAGCAATGGAACATATTCTGATATAGTGCCAGAATATGTGCACCTCAGGTTCGAAGGTACTCAAAACCTAACTGGGGAAGAATTGTCTCTTCAAATTAGAGTCAACATTAATATATTCCTAAGTATACAGAGTAAGGAGCTCTGGTAGCGTAGTGGTTACGAATCTGGCTCTGAACCACAAGGTCAGCAGTTCGAAACTACCAGCTGTTCCACGGGAGAAAGATGAGGCTTTCTGCTCCTGTAAAGATTTACAGCCTCGGAAACCCTGTACAGAGTCGCTATGAGTCGGACCCGACTCCACGGCACATAATAACAACAACAAGTATACAGAGTAAAGCTTTTAGGACCTTTATTTGCTGATGTGACATGACTCCAAATGAGAAGTAAAAGCTGCAGACATCCATTAATAATTGGAATGTGGAATGTATGAAGTAAGAATCTAGGAAAATTGGAAGCTGTCAAAAATGAAGGTAGATACCTAGGCATTAGTGAACTGAAATGGACTGCTTTGGGCAATTCTGAATTGGACAATCATATGGTCTACTATGCCAGGACTGACAAGCTGATGAAGAATGGCATATTCATGGTCAAAAATAATATTTCAAGATGTATCCTGAAGTACAATGATGTCAGTGATTGGATAATAGTCAAAAGTCTATAAGGAAGACCAGATAGTATGAGTGTTATTCATATTTATGTAGCAACCACTAATGCTAAAGATGAAGAAATTGGAGATTTTTACCAACTTCTTCAGTCTGAAATTGATCAAAGATGCATTGATAATTAGGAATGTGAAAGTAGGAAACAAAGGAGGGATCAGTAGTTGGAAAATATGGCCTTGGTGATAGAAATGATAGAATTTCTTAAGTTTTAAACAACATGGACCTCACCAGATGGAATACACAGGAATCAAATTGATTGCATCTGTGAAAAGAGATGATGGAAAAGCTCATTACAATACATCAAGCCCAAACAAGGCCAGGGGCAAACTGTGGAACAGACCATCAATTGTTCATACACAAGATCAAACTGAGGCTGAAGAAAATTAAAACAACTACACAAGATCCAGGAGTACTGGTGTGGCGCTGTAAGTTAGTAATGTGCCAGACTGCAAAGTCGTTTGAATGGCAACGTTGGCGGTTCAAGCTCACCAGCTGCTTCTCAGAAACCCTATATAGGATCGCTATGGGTCAGAACTGACTTGACAGCACTTAACAACAACAACAACACAAGATACAAAATATGACCTTGAACTGAAGCTGAAAGGACTACCTGGCTAATCCACTGAAAGAGGTTCTTATAGGTGCCCATTCCAAAAAAAGGTGATCCAACAGGTTGTGGTAATTATCATATGCAAGTACATTTTTGCTGAAAAAAAAATTCAAGCCAGATTACATGGAGTATGTGGAATGAGGGATCTCACTGCTGATATCGGATGGATCTTGACTAAAAACAGAGAATACCAGAAAGATGTTTACCTGTGTTTTATTGACTATGCAAAGACATCCGACTGCAGGGAGCATAATAAATTATGTATAACATTGCAAAGAATGGGAATACCTAATTGTCTCCATGCAGAACCTGTACATAAATCAAGAGGCAGTCATTTGAACGAACAAGGGATACTGAACTTAAAATCAGGAAAGATGTGCATCAAGGTTGTATCCTTTCACCTTGCTTATTCTATCAGTAATTGAGCAAATAATCTGTGAGCTTGGACAATATGAAGAAGAGCATGGCATCAGGATTGGAAGATGACTCATTAACAACCTGTGATATGCAGATGACACAACTTTGCTTGTTAAAAGTGAATAGTATTTAAAGCACTTTCTGATGAAGATCAAAGACCACAACCTTCAGTATGGAATACATCTCAACATTTAGAAAACAAAACTTCTCACAACTGGACTGAAAACCAACATCATGATAAATGCAGAAAATATTGAAGATGTAAAAGATTTCATTTTACTTGGAGTCACAAGCAATGTCTTTTGTAGCAGCAGTCAAGAAATCAAATGGCATATAATATTGGGCAAAGCTGCTGCAAAAAACTTTGTTAAAGTTTGCTTGAAGACTAATGTGCACCTGACCCAAGTCATGGTATATTTGATTACCTCATATGTATGTGAAAGCTAGACAATAAATAAGGAAGACAGAAGAAGAATTGATGTCTTTGAATTATGATTTTGGCAAAGAATATTTCATATACCATAGACTGCCAGAAAAATTAACAAATCTGTCCTGGAAGAAGTACAGCCAGATGCTCTTTAGAAGCTAGGATGGTAAGACATTGGCCATGTCATCAGGAGGGACCAGTTCCTGGAGAAGAACACCATGCTTGGTAAAGTAGAGGGACAATGAAAAAGAGGCAGATCCCCCATGAGATGGAATGAGACGGTAGCTGCAATGATTATCTCAAATATTGCAATGATTGTGAGGATGACGCAGGCCCGGGAAGTGTTTTCTTCTGTTATAAATAGGGTCTCTGAGTTGGCACTGACTCAAGGGTTTCTAACAACAACAATAGGATAAACAAGTGAATGGATCAATAAATAAACCAATCAAATCCTGACCCTAATGTGGAAACCATGAGGAGAAATCAGTCTCTGCCCTAGCAGAATCATGGGCAAAAAATTGGGGGCAGGACAAAGCGACAGAAGAAGGGAATAGGAGGAGCCAAGGGTGCTTACCTGCAGCCTCTGTGTCTGGGGTAGTCTGTTCTTCCTCCTGAGGGTGACTGCCTTCTGACTGCTGTGGAGAGGAAGCTAAGGACGAGCCTGCAGAGCCGTTGCCATCTGATTCAGTGGATGGCTATCAAGAGGTAAAGTGTTTCTTAAGTGGCTTTACATACATTGACATACTTTATGATGTCATTTCTGACCGATTTTGGGGGTTAGAAGGGACCTTAACTATCCCTTTGACTTTAAGAACTGTTTGTTAGTGCCCCAAACAATGGCATTCCCTTTTAGAAACTTATTCTATTCCCTCAACAACTCGTGTCAGAGACTTTCAGTTCTTAAAAGGGTGGCATGCATCTAAAGGTCCCTTAATGTCATTCCAGTCACAATTAAGCTATTTAAAACCAAATTCTCTCTGGACATGTAGAGTTGTACACCTGCTTCTCAGTTTAAGGCCTAACTGCATGTTTTAGAAACCTACAGGAGTTCATATATATTCCTTGGGGGATCAGGGGAAGGGAAGTGGTGGTGTTATCTGTAATACAAGAGCTGCTGTCAAGTCAGTTCCAACCCCATGTATGTCAGAGTAGAACTGTGCTCCATAGAGTTTTCAGTGGATGATTTTGGGGAAGTGGACTGCCAGGTCTTTCTTTCAAGGCATCTCTGGGCAGACTCAAACCACCGATCTTTTGTTTAGCAGCCAAGCACACTCATCATTTGTAACCACCCAGGGACTCCAAAGATGACAATGTTATTATTGCTGTTAAATGCCACTGAGTTGGATCCTATTCAAAGCAACCCTGTATAGAGTTTCTGAGGAGCAGCTGATGGGTTTGAACTGCTGACCTTTCAGTGCTTATCCTAAAGTGCTACAACAAAGATGACTATATTTCAGGCATTATGCTAAATACTTTAAATGCATTCTCTCTTTTTGTCCTTGTCACAATTCTGGTGTGGCACTGTAGGATAAGCCATGGACTACTAACCACAAGGTAGGCAGTTCAAATCACTCTTCAGAAACCCTATACAGAATTGCTGTGAGTCAGGACCGACTTAACAGGACTTAACAACAACAAGAAGTACTATTATTATCCCTATTTTATAGATGAGGGAAGAACTGGAGTTTAGTGAGGTTAAATAACTTGGTCAACATTCCACAAACATTAAGAGTCAGAACCAGAATCAAACTCAGGGCTGCCTGAATCCCTGTCTACATTATACACATTACCTGTCAAAGAGGAAAGAGGCAAAAAGTAACACGAGATGCCTTTAGAGTAAAATTTCTTGTCTTGCTTAGCATGGCCAAACCAGCTTCTTTCTAACAAACACCATACTAGCAAAATCAATCTATTTTGGATGTTTCTTGTAGTTTGTTCTTTCAATATAGGATTCAAATGGGTTGTGGAGAAATGATTCCTCAGAAGTTCTGCCTCTAGCCCCACAGGTGGATTGAAAGTCACACATGAAGGTAGCGTAGACGACAAAGTGCAATTGGCCGAACTATGTGACCATACCAACCCCTTCCTTCTCCTCACCCTTCCCAAGGTCCTCTTTGGTGGTGGTTATGTGCCGTGGAGTTGGAACCAACTCATAGTGACCCTGTACAAGGTTTCTGAGGCTATAAATCTTTAAGGGAGCAGAAACCCTCACCTTTCTCCCATGGAACAGCTGGTAGTTTCGAACTATTGACCTTGCGGTTCGCAGCCCAATTCATAACCACTACACTACCAGAGCTCCTTAAGGTCTATTAGGGAGTCACAAAATAATCAGTGCCAAGGAACTTTCTTTTTTCCTCTTTGCAACCTCCCCTCCTCGTCTTTCCACTCCCCACCTCATGCTTGGTTCTTCCCCTGCCTTCAACCACACCTGCAGGAGTAGCTCCCTTAAGCGCTGCAACTGGGATTCCAGTTGCTTGTTGTGGTCTTCAAGGATCTGCATGCGTGTCTCCAGGCGGCTCTTGTGTTGTCGAAGGATCCTGGCCTCGGCCAGAAGCTCCTCATTGCGGTGGTCATGAGCTGTGTCGGCAGAGCTCTCCGTCAGGGTGGGTGCCTCAGCAGCCTCCTCATGCTGCCACTTGAGGCGCCTCAGTTCTCCCTGGAGAATCCTGCCAAAGACAGAGAAGCCAAGACATATGGCTTTAACAGGTCCTAGATGTCTCTTCATACCTGGGCAAGGTGAAGGGCTTAGTCGGGACAAGCCTGAAACGAGGACTAATGTGAGCAATCTCTTGACTCTCCCATTTCTACCTTTACTCCTAGCGATGTCTTTGCTTCAGTGGCCAAGTTCACTTTCTGTCTAGTACATACATGTACTTCATTCACTCTGCCATCCTTAGACCTCAGAGCAGAGAGTGGTGACATTTCACATATAAATGTCTCATGCATTGATGTGCTACTTTGGGGATTAATCCTGACCTTAGAATTGGGCAGAAACAGTCTGCAAATAAATGATGTATTAGGAGCACTGACTCACAAACTCCATTTTTAGATTTTTGGAATGCAAGGGAAGACATAATACAAGCAAGAGGTGACCTACTTTTGAGGTCATGATGTTGTTTTGCAACAGAACACAATCACTTTCTGCCCTATTATTCTCCAGGGCCTACTTACTGCTGCTGTAATGCAGGGCTTTTCAAACTTTCTGTAGTGAAAAACAAGGACTCCCCCAACCCAGTACACATAATTAATACACAGCTTGCATCACATATGACATCAACATTCAAACTTGCTTAAACCTTATTCAATGAGTCCACTAATTATGCCTATCATGGCAATGTAGAATTGCTCTAAAAGATTCTAAAAGTTCACGCTTTATTTTTGTATTTATCTTGTTCTGGATCACTAACAAACAGTTCACAGACTGACCCTGAACTTCATTCCTGACTCCAGGTACCATGTTATTCCAAGTTTGGTGTGTGGGCCAGTGGCATCAGAATCACCTGGGAGCTGGTTATAAGCTCAGAAACTCAGACCCCCGCCCCAGACTTATGAGTTAGAATCTGCATTTTAATAAGCTCCCCAAGTAATTTGTGTGCACACTATGGATTCTACTGCATACAAGGGGGCTTCAAATAGTTCATGGAAAAATTCTGTTATCTTTTAATTGCATCTGTCCACGAACGCTTTAAAAAAGCTTGGACTCTCCTCACACCCATGCTACAAACCCTACTTTATGGAGATTAACGCCATCCCTGTGAGCTTCCTAACCTTTTTTCTTCCAGTCTTCAAGCGCCCTATGTAGTGTTATCCTCCTCTTCCTTCATTAGTTTCGCTAAGTGATAAGTATCTTTTTTACATTCCCAATTCTGGAAGTTCTTTGAGAGCATGGACATGTCATACTCTTTTCTGTATTCTCTGTAGTGGCTTGCATCTAGTGAGTATTTGGATACATTTTAGTTGAATTAAAAGGATCTCAGTAATTATAATAATAAAAACAGGTTGTCATAGAGTTGACTCCAACTCATGGCAACCCCATGTATGTTAGAGTAAAACTATGTTGTCTAGAGGTTTCATAGGGTTTTCGATAGCTGATTTTTTAAAAAGTAGATTGCCAGACCTTTCTTCTGAGACACTCTGCCTGAACTCCCACCTTTCAGTTAGTAGTTGAGTATGTTAACCATCTGCATGACCCAGGGACTTCAATTATTATAATAGTTAGCATTTATTGAACCCTTACTATAAAGCTAGCACATCGTACGCCTGATCTCATGCGATTTTCATAAGTGAACCCAGGAGGTAAATACTGTTATGATCATCCCCACTTTACAGATGAGGAAATAAAGGATCACAGAATGTAAGTGACTGTTTTGAGGTCACACAGCTAGTTATGTGGAAGTGTCAGGTTTTAAATTTGAGTAGTCTTGACTCTAGAACCCACACAAGTCTGTGCCATCACTACACCCACCGGTTCTCATCTTCTAAATGAGCCAGGATTTTCTCTAGCTCCCCCTTGCTTTCTGTGGCCATGCCGCCTGGGGCCTGCTGTCCAAAGGCTGGCTCCCGGTCTGTGATGGGGCTGGAGTGCCGTAGTAGGTACTGGTCCTCATCTCTGCATGTGTGTGGGGAAAGGAAAGAAGGTGGTCAGGCACTAAACAGAGAAACAGATTAGGTTATGAGTTCTCAGTTGCCAGTTCAGGAAAGTCCCAGAAGATGCATGGTGGAGGACTCATCTCAAAGTCACATAGCAATGGAAAGACCATATATTAAGGCTTAAGAGGGAAGAAAGTGGTCAAACAGGCCAGGACAGAGGTACTGGGAGAGAGTTCTTTTGGGATGCTGGGGCTTCTGTGTTCTATTTACTACAACTCTTTGAGAAACATTGAACTAATCACTTCCATTTCTGTGCTGTTCTCCCACTCTCCTCCTCCACTCTCCTCCTCTTTTCTTGCCTACCCTCTGATAGGGATCACCGCTGGTCTGAGTTCCAGTCAGGGCCAGATTGACCCAAGTAGCCAGTATTTCTTTGGATCTCTGAGCAGAACAGGACTCTCCCTATATATGAATGGTTCTTTCTGTTGGCCACAGTGTCATGAAGTGTCTCTGGCCACTTTAGTCAAGTCCTAGAATGCCTTTCCTGGGTTGTCAAGGCACTAGATGTGGTTTTGAAATTTTGAGCATGAGATAATAGCTAATTTCTGCAACTTCAGATGATGGTATATTCTTCTTTGTTCAGAGTTAGGCATAGAATAATGGAGTCTTGCAATAGGAAGGGACCTGGGTTGATGTGATGGTAGCAAGATAACGCATCAATCATACCTCAACTCAGTTGATGGAGGGCAAATTGCTTCTCTTGCTTCTTTCCCAGAAAGAAACCATCCTTCCTTAGGGAGCCAAAGACCCTAACTATCACACTCTCCCCCACCACCTGAGGCTATATATGCTTCCCAAACAGTGGCAGAAGGACTCCAAGGAGAGCTATTCCTGGAAAATGAGCAACTATGGAAACTCACATGCTGTCATCTGGAGACAGGCTGTCATTAAAGAAGGAGCAATTTTGACTTTCCATCTCAGCAAGCCTGGGAAGAAAGAACAAGACAGGAGGGAAAAGATGGTGTGAGACCTGCCTTCAACTCTAGGCTCTAATCCCACAATAGCATCATCCTTAAGTGTTGGGCCTCACTGGCTGCTACATGCCCCCTTAGTCTTGCACACGCATCTCATTAGCCTTGCCTCTATTCTCCTTGCCCCCAGTGAAAACTCCTCCCCCTTAGACTTCCTACAATCACCCCTCTTCCCATTCCCCGCCAATCTGGTGGTACCTGCTGGCAAAATGCTCAATTCGGGAGTGTGTATCAGCGTGTGGTAACATCGGGGAAGAAGTCGGCCTAGAGGAAATCAAGAAAGACTCAAAGGAGCAAAAACAGAGCAGCTTGACAGTCTGTTTCCTTACCCCCCAAATTAAGGATATGGGCAAAAGCTGACAGGAATGGTATACAGAGACTGGACTCCAGACTCTTAGGCCAGATTTCTGGTCAGACCTGAGCTGAACTGCCTGATTGATAGTCAAACCTGTCCTGGAACATTTCCCGAGTCCATTCAAGACTCATCCCCTTCAAATACATACCCAAGCTCAGTGAAGCTGCCTGCAGCTCCTACTCGACCACCAGTACTCACGTCTCACTGTAGTCAGCCTCCAGTACTGATTGCACTGGCAGATAACCTCGCTGAGGGTGTTTGCTGAAATAATGTTTTGAGCGAAATTTGTTCTTTAAAGTTGTGGCAAAATCCCTCATGTTCTCGCTGGATGTGGTCTGGAAGGAGACAGAGCATAGGGATTCACCGGAATAGTGTCCCCAAGTATGGTGGGAAGGTGTGGGGGCTCCCCTGGAATAGGGAATGTGACTGGTAATCCACTGGTTCAAAGCTACCATACCCTGTTCCGAGAAATGGGCCTAGAAGGATACATGCCAAACTGTGCACACTGGTTGTCTCTGGGAAGATGGGGTGGAGGGGTGGAAACCAGAATGAGGAGAAAGGAGACTTTAGTTTTATAATCTATTGTTGTTGCTAAGTGCCACAGAGTTGGTTCCAACTCAAAGTGATCCTATAGGGTTTTCAAGGAGTAGCTTGCTTGGTTTGAACCACTGAACTTGTAGTCTGGTACTTATCGTACAGTGCCACACCAGGACTCCATTAGTTTTATACTTTAAACACCTCAATATAACTTGATTCTTTTGCAGTAAAAACATATTTCTTAATTCCTTGCTTCCACTGAATCACACATGTTTTTGTGCCAACAGAATTTGGAGAAAAGAGGTTAATTTGGAAAGATGGATTTGGGAAAACAAGTTTAAAGATGTTGGAAATGTTTTCAGGTTTTAAGGGAATATGTGGGGCAGAAAGGGATAAAGAAGTGTAGAGAGCAGAGTCCGCTCAGAAAGCTAAGCATGGAATTGTGGGTCTTGAATACGGCAAAGGAGACAATCTATGATTAGAGTTCAAAGGTGCTGACCAATCCAGACTTAGGTTATTATTAGGGGCAATTTCCAATGAAAACCAAGTGGAACTGGGGGCCCAGGTAAAGAGCAAACCTTTATTTCCCCTCCCCAAGGACTGAGAACGTAATTTGAGAACAAATTTTGGTATTGACTAGAAAGGGTAGAAACAATGGCCAAGGAACAGGTACAAAGTAGCAAATAAAGAAGCACTGGACTGTGAAACACAGGGTCTGTAGTTCAAACCCACCAGCTGCTTCTCAGAAACCCTGTACAGTGTCAGTATGAGTTGGAACTGACTCGACGGCACTTAGTAACAACAATAACCCAGTACAAGAGAAAAATAGAAAACTGGTCAGAAAAAACTTGAGAGCAACAGAAGTTTAGCCACTTGGCACCACCTTATTCTCTTTAATTTTTCCTGAGACTTTTCCCTGCAGTTAAATTGTGAGCACCTTTTTAGTGAATGAGATGACCTGGGTTGCTGAAAACAGCTGTGGTCCCAGTAGTAAAGAAATATTGCTAGGAGACTAAACAGAGGCCTGGATCCCCCAAGGTGATAAAGCAACAAAACTGTTTGGAAAATGCTCCCCAAAGGAGAGCAAAAGACAGTTAATCAGTGCTTGGCCAAATACTTCATTTTGCTCGGATTAATCATCAACATTCATGGAAGCAGCAGTCAATAAATCAGATGATGTTTTGCATTAGGCAAATCTGCTGCACAAGATGTCTTTAAAGTGTTGAAGAGCAAAGATGTCAGTTTGAGGACTGACCCAGGCCATGGTATTTTCAATAACTTCATATGCATGTGAAATTTGGACAGTGAATAAGGAAGACCATCAAAGAATTGATGCATTTGAGCTATGGTGTTGGAGGAGAATATTAAAAGTGCCATGGACAGCCAAAAGAACAAATATATTGGTGGTGGAAAAAGTACAGCCAGAATGCTTCCTGGAAGCCAGGATGTCCAGACGTCGTCTCTCATACTTCAGACATACTGTCAGGAAGGACCAGTCCCTGGAGAAGGATATCATGTTTGGTAAAATGGAAGGTCAGAGAAAAAGAGAAAGACCCTCAACGAGATGGATTGGCACAGGGGCAACAGCAGTGGGCTCAAATGTAGTAATGATTGTGAGGTTGTCACAAGACTGGGCAGTGTTTTGTTCTGCTGGGCATAGAGTCGTTATGAGTTGTCACTGACTGGATGGCACCTAACAACAACAATGCTTGGCCAAGTAGATCAAGAGCCTAGCATCTCCCCTTCCCACTCATCCCAGAGGTTTCTTACCGGGGTGTAATATTCCATGATGGGGTAGTGCAACTTGTTGCCTTTGCTGGCCCTGCCTGTCAAAAAGCAGGTCTGGCAGATGTCCACATTAAATTGTTTCAGACTCCGATACCTTGAAGAAATGAGAGGTGGTATGAAAAAGAATCCACTGTGCCATAGTGATCCCCACCCCCTACTTTCTCAGCATCCAAATATCATTGGGAGAGGGCAAGGCATTCATGGAGTCTTGGTGTGGTGATGTAGGATAAGAACTAGATCACAAGGTCAGTTTGAACACAAGGTTGGAGGTTCAAACTCACAGACGCTCCTTGGAAACCCTATAAAGACAGGGTCACTATGAGTCAGAACCAACTCAATGGTAATTAACAACAATAGGGCATTCATAACCTGCTCAACCTCATATACACAGCAGTAGCTAAGTACTCAATGGCTTAATAGCCTATTCTGTTGGTGCTGTTAAGTGCTGTTGAGTTGATTCTGACTCATAGTGACACTGCACAGGGTTTCCAAGGAGCAGCTAGTGAGTTTGAAGTGTCAACCTTGCAGTTAGAAGTTCAGTGCTTATCTTTCAGTGCCACACCAGGACTGCAGCCTTATTCTGTCGTTGTTGTTAAGTGCCATAGAGTCAGTTTCAACTTGTAGCGACCCGGTACAAGGTTTCCGAGGATTTAAAACTTTTGCGGGAACAGAAAGCTTCATCCTTTCCTGCAGAATGGCTGGTGGGCTTTAACCACTGACCTGTGGCTCACAGTCGCGTGAGCCACCATGCCCCCCAACCTTATTCTTGTTGTTGTTGCTGTTGTTAAGCCTCATTCTATTGTTGTTGTTATTGAGTGCTGTCGAGTCAGTTTTGACTCATAGCAATCCTGTTTAGGGTTTCCAAGAAGCAGCTGGTGGGTTTGAACTGCCAACCCTGCAGTTCACAGTTCAGTGTTAATCCTATAACGTCACACCAGGAGTCTAAGCCTTATTCTAGGAACTATAAATTTCCATGAAATCACAAGTTCAAATCCCCAGAAGTATAGAAAATAACATGATCTCAGCAACTTTTATTTAAAAAAACGGTGTGGCAGAGGTAAAGATCTCATTAGATCTAATCAGTTTCTGAACAAGGATGGACCCAAAAGGGTTTAGTCTCACAGTTACCACCACCTACCCTGGAAAAGTTACCCTTCTAATACGAAGGCAATTTGTTCTACCAGTCCTGGGCAATTTGTGAAAAGCTAAATTATAAATGGTTATTTATAATAATACCAACTCTGTATTATAGAATAGTCCTTCAGATCTAGGTCTAAAGTTTAACTTAACTGTCCATAGGTAATAGTATACTTAGACTTAAGACAGCCAGAGGATCCAGTGTTAACTGCATGAACTTGGGCAAATCTCATTCTACTTCTGTGCCTCATTTCTCATCTTATAAAAAGCATTGGGGGTACTATATGGAAGGTGCATCCTCATGCTTTAAACATTTTTAAAGGTGATCATTTTATGATGAAAAACAATATCAGGATGGTGGCTACCTTTGTGGGGGAAGTAGGGGTGTAATCAGGGAACCTTCAAAAGTGTTTGCTTTACTTTTTAAACTGGATGTTGGTTAACATTGTCATAAGCTCATCCCATTTCACAAGAGCTGTTTGTTAAAGTTTCAGGAGTTTTATAAACTGGTTTTTAAATACAGTCATCATTTAAAAATTAAATGATATAAACTTACCATTAAATAAATTATATTAGCAACAAAGGTAATAAATACTAAAAAGCCCCCACTTCCGGATTATTTTACTATTATCTCTGCTTTTGAGGTTATTTATGTTGATCGCATCTACATGGTGGAAATGCTGTAAGTAGTACACTATTATGCATCTCTTTCCAACTCTGTGTTTAGGGACCTCAAGTTGATAGCCTGACATTTTCATGGTGGGAATATTTATTTACACTACAGAAATAGACTATTACTACACATTTTAAATACTCAAACCAAACCCATTGCTGTCAAGTTGATTCTGACTCATAGCAATCCTACTGGATAAAGTTGAACTGTTTGATAGCATTTCCAAGGCTGCCACATCTTTCTCCTGCAGAGTGGCTGGTGGGTTCAAACTACTGACCTTTCAGATAGCAACTGAACAGTTTGCCACCAGAGCTCCTTAGCTACAACTCAAGTTTCCTTTTTTCTTTCTGGGGAACAGATTGCCACACATTCTGCAGAGAACCCTGGATATTTTTATATTAGTATCTTTACATTTTTGTAGGCCTTTAATGCTTTATAATATAACTAAAACAAAAATAAAGCATTTCATAATGACCGATTTTTATAAAGTTAAACATTCTGCAAATTTAAAGGATTCTAATATAATAGAGTCCTGGTGTGGTGCTGTGGGCTAACGCGCCAGACTGCAAAGTCATTTGAACTGCAAGGTTGGTGGTTCAGGCTCACCAGCTGCTCCTTGGAAACCCTATACAGGGTCGCTATGGATGAGAATTGACTTGATGGCACTCAACAACAACAACAACAACAACAATATAATAGAAGGAGTCCTGGTGTGGCGCTGCAGGATAAGCATTTGACCTCAAGGTCAGTTTGAACCACAAGGTTGGTGGTTCAAACTCACCCGTGGCTCCTTGGAAACCCTATACAGGGTCGCTATGGGTCAAAACCAACTTGATGGCACTTAACAACAACAAATATAATGTATAACAGATTATCTGTTTTTACATAATAATTATTCAATGTACTGCATTGTAATATATAAGTTGTATGTAACATGGAATGTTTATTACTATTATCATTCCTACCTGAAGCCTTTGATTGGGCATTGCCTACAGATAGAGCACTTGGTCTGGTGTTTCACTTGTTCAGCAATGGTGACTCGATGCAAAACAGCCAACCACACCATTGACTGGGGCTCCAAGTTGACCCACTCCAAGAACTGGGAAGCTTCAATGACTGGCTTTCCAGTGCTCTAGGGAAACAAGAAACCCAATGGGAATAACTGAGACCCCAAAGTGCCTGGTTCCTGGAATAGCAGTCCTCGGAGGTGCAGGGGGATCAGCAGGGCCTGGGTTGGCCTATTCTCCAAAGTTATCCAGCTTTCACCCTGTCCTTTTTGATCTGGCACCCTCCCCAACAGGACTCTAACACTAGGAACCCAGAGACCCTTTGCCCTGTTGTGCCATCCCAATAAATTCTCTTACATCTAAATAGCTTCGATCAAAAGCCTAGCTCTGGGTCTTCCCTCCTCCCTCCTACTTTCCCCTCCTCCTACTCTCCCTCCCTCCCTTGCTCCATACTCACAAAACGAAAGCAACTACGGACACTGGGTTCCACATTGCTGCCTCCAAAGGCTGCTACTTCGCCCAGCTGACGGGGCACCTGAATGGCCTCATGAAGCAGGACACTGAGGTGTCGTTGATCACACTGGCTGCCTGAGTTGGCCACTTGGCTGAAGAGGTCTGCTGACCCCACCATAAGTAATAACCAATCCAGATATAGGAATGGCCACAGAATGATGTAGGGGAAAAGGGCAGAAAAGGAAGACATGGAAAGAACACACAGACTTAACTCATGAATTTTAAAACGGAAATACCTAGAAGTCCATCCCTGATCTTCTAAAAGCCCAGGAGTTCTAAAATGAGCACTTATGAGTTCGAAGAGAAAAGTGAGACACACGCAAAGACAGAGCCTCAGGAAGAGAGAGTGGGGGATGAAATGAAGACAGACAGAGTTGTGTGTGAGAACAGTACAAGACAGATATGACACTCATGGGAAAACAAATTCCTAAAGAAGCAAATTCAGGGTATGTGGGATACAGGGACACCTAAACATGAGTCATAGTCGGGGTGTCATATCCACTCATGTTCATGTAGCTCATGTAGTCTGACACTACAATCACCTCTCAGTTATCCACACAAATGGAAGGAAATACTGGCATGGATAATCCAAACAGAGGGGATGGTTCAAAGCACCAGATAATTTAAAATTATCTTTAAGTGACTGAGGAATATACTATGGCACTTACATTTGAACATGGATTGTATCTACTCTTCTAGGAACCCCTAATTCCAACCCAAAATCTGTCAACAGAATTTATTTTATGTTTACTTCATACTATACGGAGCTCTGGTAGCGTAGTAGTTATGAATTGGGCTGATAACCTCAAGATCAGCAGTTCAAAACTACCAGTTGTTCTGCGGGAGAAAGATGAGGCTTTCTGCACCCGTAAAGATTTACAGCTCCAGAAACCCTGTATAGGGTCACTATGGGTTGGAACTGACTCCCTGGCACACCACCACCACCAAGAAAATATAAAGAAGTAGAAGGGAGACAGCTGGGTTTAAGTTTGGTTCCATTACTAACTACTTTGTAAAACCTTGGGTAAGTCATGTTGAAGTTTACTTGCTCAAAGGAATATTGGGAGATATAATTGAGGTCATAGCTATCAATACGCTTTGAAAAGTCCCCTTCCCTGTATAGTTTTTCCAGGATATTTATCTACTTTGATCTCATATAGTACATATCTCTTCTCATTCAGATTATTCTACTTAGTACTTTAAAAAAAAAATACGTTCTGTGGTTTTCTGTCTCTTTCTGCGTACTGCAAAGCACATGAGGCAAGGACATTTAGCACAGTGGTCAACACACATACACTCAACAACAAATAATGATGCGGGAGAAAAGTACAAAGTATACAAGATGAGAAGGAAAGAAAAAGTACTTTAAACCAGGGTTAAAAACGACATAATTACATGCTGTCCACTTCCAAAATAATCGGGATTATTGTATCCTGCCTGTGTAAATCATATGAAAAGTGTCCAGTAGAAAATGTAACTGAAATGACTTCAGTTTCAATCTGGGATAGGGTTAAACTTTATAGGTCAAGGGAGAATGAAATTAGAAAGTCAGGGTCTTAGGTACTCTAGGAAGTCAACTCAGATCCTGACCAAGTCTTAGGTCGGAAGAAAACAAACGACTTGGGGCGACACTGGAAATAACAGGTCCCACCTTGGTCTGTGGCTGCGATGGGTTCTTTTTAATCGTCTTGACCAAGAGGCACCACAAGGCAGCCCAAATATTCCTCTACTGAGTCATAGAACCTACTGTCTACTTATCTTATACCCTTTCTCCTCCCTACAACACCTCTTCCTCCACCCAACTCCACTCCAGACTTTGGGGTTGTACTTACACTGAAGTTTTTCCTTCACTTCTGTGCCGCACAGGCATGCAATGCCAGTCTTAAAGGACAATGCTCGCATCTTTCCACTGCGACCACTAGGTTTAAAAGAAGAGACTGAGAACATGAATATATGTTAATCATTAACATCTTGGCAGTTTATCCTAGCAAGGCTCTGTGTCAACCATGGTCCAAGCTGAGGTGAGTTCTGGTCTACCATAGGAGCAATGTCTCCCCAACATGCCCATTCCAGGTTGTTCCATAGAAATTCATACTGTAAACTTGCAGGGATGATAAACTTTACCTATCAAAAACATTAAGGAGCCAGTTGAGACTCATGTCCACACAGAGTGGCACATTGACCAAGATGCCTCTTTCCTCCTCCAGTCGTTCATATAAGGCAGTGAGGCAATGAATGACTTCCACTACATCCATTACATGTTCACTGGCCTGCAGATCATGCTCACTGAAGATATCCAATGCTGTAGTTAAAGTTACAAGGTCCACTGAGAAGAAAAGAGAGAGGGAAAAATATAGCAAAAACAAACAAACAAACAAACAAACAAAACCCAGAACTCCATGAGTTAGACAAGGAGATAAGGCTATTGGTGTCACCAAATTTGACTCAATTCAAACCAAACTTATTCTTTACCAAGACCCTCAACCCAAAGGAGAGAGACGGTAGCAAAAGACCACTTAAATTAACCCAAGATGTTTCTATATGCTCTTTATTTGACTCATTTTCAAGAAGATCTTGGGATGTGACTTAACTCACCTTCTATATGGGTCGGACCCGACTCGATGGCACTTAACAACAACAACAACATACTATAATATCGTCTATGTGATGGACTCCAGTTTTATGTTTCTCTGTCTACACACACATTCCAGCTAAAACTAGACTTGTCCCTGAACCTGGTTCTGAGAAGCTAGACATGGATTATAAAGCTAGACATGGACTTAAAAATTTTGTGACACAACTCAGGAAGACTTTTTTAAATCTTTTTTTTTTTTTAACTTTTTATTGTGAATTGGGTTAAGGTTTACAGAGCAGATCAGTTTTCCATTCAACAATTCATATACATTTTGCCTCTTGTCAATGACTGCAACCTCCACAATGTGACATTTCTTATCAACACTTCCTCCTTGTGTTTCCTAGTTCCATTCTTCCTTCTTTCCTAACCCTTCTGAACTTTGTCTTTGAATAAATGCTGCTATTTTTATCTCAAATGGTTACTTATTCTAAGATGTGCATGCCTTTCTAGTGTTATTGTGTCTTTTGTAGACCTTTCTATTGTTTGGCTGAAAATTGAGTCATGGTCATGAGTTCATTTCTAGACCTGAAGGGTGACTAAGGGCCATAGTCCTAGGGGTCTCTATCTGACCAGTAAGCCTGATCTCTTTTACGATTTTGAGTTTTGTTCCACAGTTTTCTCTTACTATATCCAGGACCTCCTATTGTGAGCTCTTTCAGAGTGGTCAGCAGTGGTAGCTGGGCACCATCTAGTTCTTTTGGTCTCAGGATCTTGGAGACTGGTGTCCTCATAGCCTATTAGTACATTGGACTGATTGTTTTCAGAAGGACTTTTTATTTATCTCCAATGCTGGAATTGCCCTAGCCGAACATGGTTGGGCAAAAAATCTTTAGCAGATAGTGTCACTAATAAGGGCCAGAAACCACATTATATCTGCAGCTGCTTTGTCACCTAATAACTGACATTTATTTTAACAATTCTACTGATGCATCCAATATTCCCAAGATGTCAAAAGAACGAAAGGACCTGGTGACTCCAAGTCAGGGCCTGGGATAGTTCCTGACACAGAGCAGTTGCTTGATTATCCATGTTGGGCAAGGAAAAAGGACAAGGAGGAAAACTTTGGGATTAATTTGGGAACTATTTTAGGGTCTCTGGAGAGAATGTAAAGTGTTCTGAAAAGAGTAGGTATCCACAGCCAACGTGTGTCAACTTTTAGAGACTTCCCACTAAGGTAATAAAAGTGAAAAACAGCAAACAGGTGAATAACAGTAGGAGTGGTTGAAGGTATAAGAGAGGTGCAGCGGCATACATACAGCGTAGTGCCTTCTGGACTCTGCGTAGCTTCATGGCAGTACGATAAGCTGAGAACTTAATGTTGTTCAGATCAGCTGCAAAGATTGGAAAGAGACCCAGTCACATCAGGGAAATTTAAATGAAAAATCACAATAAACTCTGCTTAGGAGACCACTGAGCTTCTGTTAAGGGTGAAAATGAACAGTGATTATGGCTGTACAACATGATCAATGTAATTAATGTCACCAAAATGTGAAGAATGTTGAAATGACCAATGTTTTGTTATATATGTACTTGTCATGATTAAAAAAAACACTGGCTTAAACACGCATGCACACAAGTACTCTTTTACATCCACTAGTTTGAACTGCAAGGTTGGCTCCTCGGAAACCCTATACAGGGTCGCTATGGGTTGTAATCAACTCAACAGCACTTAACAACAACAACAAGTGTGGCAAAAAATAAAAGTCTGACAATAGCAAGTGTCAGTAAGGATCAATGAGAACTGCTGACAGAAGTGTAAATTAACATAATCTCTCTGGAAAAGAACTTGATATTACCTAGTAAAATTGAATGTACATATATCCTACAACCCAGCTAGCTATTTTTCCTAGAGCAGTGATTTTCAAATGTTTTTAACCAAGAATCATAGTAAGAAATCCATTTTTATTTTACATCATTAACCAGTAATCACATATACACACATGCATATGTATATAAATAACGTAAAAACACTTTAGGAAACCATACCTATAAAGTAAAAACTTAACAAGATTAAGATTCCATATGATAAGGATATTTCCTAGTCTTTTTTAATTTTAAAAAATGCTTGTCATATTGGCTACCCAAAATGGGGTGAGGGGACTACAAAGGCAAGAAGTGACTGGCTCACAAGCTTTCAAGAGGGAACCTAGAGACAGGGGGCCTGGAGGAATGCAGAATCTCCAGTGAGTAGTATCCAATCTGTCTAGGTCTTGTGATACAATAGTGAATAATTGTTATCAGGACTGATTGTGAGGGTTGGAAATGTAAAGGTGGACGTTTTATAGCAAGGAAGGGAGTGATTAACTTTCCAGTCTAGGAGCGGAGGTCCCTAGAACCATCAACGGAGAAGAGTCGAGCGCGGGACCCTACCCAGAGAAGCAGTGATGCCTGAGATGGAGGCAGAGACGATGACGTAGAGCGATGGAGCAGCTGGGGACTTTAGATCCAGAGAGGGAGAGCGACTGTGTGCTGAAGACTGGGGGGTAGTGTAGGGGGCAGGATGCATGGAGGGGATTGTAACCATGACAATGAAACGATATACAATAGAATTAATGCAAAACTAATGTTCTCCCATGTAAACTATCATATAATTCACAATAAAACATTTTTTAAAATGCTCGTCACAACATACAAAAATGATTTTATGACCTATAGGCTAGGCAACACCAGTGATTAAGGATTCAGCTGCTAAATAAAACGTTAGTAGTTTGAATCCACCAAATACTACATGGGGGAAAATGAGGCAATGTGCTCCTGTAAAGATTTACAGCTTTATAAACCTTTATGGGACCATCCTACTATGTCCTGTAGGGTCTCTATGAGTGGGAATTGACTCGATAATAGTGGGTTTGGTTTTAGACTGAAAAGTATGCTCTGGAGAAATTCTTACACAAGGGCATCAGAAGACAACTACAAGAACTTCTTAGCAACATTATTCTTGTTAGTTCCAAACTGGAAACAAGACAAATATCCAACAGTAGAATGGCTAAATAAACTGTGGTGTATACAATAGAACACTCCACAACAATGAAAATTAATTAATTAGAATCACGTGCATGTTTGTAACATAATGGTGAGCACATATTAGTAGTCAAAGAAAAAGCACTCAAGAGTCACAATCATTGCAGCCTTGGTATTGTCTTTCAAATCTATAAGCATAATTTCCTAATGTGATGATAAAATGGTCTAGGTGTAAATACAGAGCCTCCAGTTGAATGAGGTACAAAGGGGAAAGGAAGGAAAGCTATTGGAGGAAAGAACAAGGTACTTTCACCTTCATCACTTGTTGAATGGAATTCCCTTGTATTTTTATAGGACAAAGACATCTGTTTATATTCCCATTCTATACAGGAACCCCACATTCTTACCTAGGGTTTGGTATAACTCGGTCATCTTGGGATGGTCCCAGCAAGTAGTCTGGGCTTGGTGGCTACAAACAAAAACATGAATAGAACCAGAGTCCACATCACCTTTTCCTCTCCCAACTTCATGCACCACTCAGCAACAGATTGGAAGCAAGAAGCTATAGGATGTGAGGTTGAACCCTGAAGATCTTAAAGCACAAGGGATTCACCTTTACCCAAGTAGAATCTTGAACTCTTGAGGATGAGTAGGAGGAAAAACTGGACTGGATGGAGGAACCCCAACAGATACGGAGTGACAAGGGCAGGTAGAAAAAAAGATAGGTGAAGGAGGGGTGGATAGGTGGCTGACCCACTTCGGACTCAAATGATCACTCACTTGATGTAGTAGGGGACTTTGTTAGGTGAAATTGCTCTTTCCCAGGGAACCTGGACGGAGGCTGGTAAGGGAGAAGAGAAAGAGAAAGAAAGTTGGCCACTAATGCTCTTCAGGCCTCTGGTCACTACCATACTTTATTCTCCCCCAAAAGGGGATGCTGAGTCTCATTGACCCTGAGAGTAAGGCAAAACTTCAAATGAACAAATATATCTCTCTTATGTTAGGGCAGGGAATTGAGAGATTTTCACCGATACATTAACATATCAGAGACATGTCGAGGTCATGTGTTGGAATCCTTAACTTGGCTATCCTCATAATCTTCTCCTTGAGCAGGTTGCCATTTCTACCCATTCAGTTGCAAGTAACTACAGTGTGGATATGAAGTGGACCCTACTCTCCTCATGGGACTCAGAGCCCTTTCCTTAGAACACTAAGCTTCTCAATTCTGTAAGGCAACAAGGAATGGTATTGCCTACTTCTCTGTCTAATGAGGAGCTCTGGGCAAGCATGCCTCTCCCTGCCCCATGTCTTTGTTTTCTGGATGTTCCAGGAGAGACATAGGTTACCTGACTAACCTCCTGGTTACAGTTTCTCCGGGCACAAGAGAATGATGCAGGTATGCCAGTGATGATAATACTGATAATAATAATTTCAGTTAATGTTTCTTAAGCTTCTACTATGTGCCAGATACTATGCTAAATGCTTTGTGGGCATATCCAATTTTCATTTGTATATTCTCACTGGAGTCCCTGGGTAGTGCAAATAATTAATGTGCTCAGTTTTTACTCAAAGGTTAGCAGTTTGAGTCCACTCACATGGAAGAAAGGCTTGGAAAAATACCTCCAAAAACTCAGCCTTTGAAAACCCTATGGAGTACAGTTCTATTCTGACACATATGGGATTGTCATGAGTCAGAATTGACTTGCCAGCAACTTGTCACTGGAGATATATATATAAATATATATACCAACCTGTTCTGAATCACCATAACCCTTTACTTGAATTATTTCAATAGGCCTTCTAACAAGGTCTCCCTGTTTCCACTCTTACTTCCCAAAAATCTATTCTCAACACCCACACTTTGTTATAAATAAGTCAGATCATGCTATCCCTTGGCTCGAATGTCTCCAAAGAGTCTCCATTTGATTCAGAATAAAATCTGAAGTTCTGACCATAGCCTCCAAAGCCATCCATGCTCTGCCTCTTGCAACCACTCTGACCTCATCACCTCCTTCCCTCCTTGCTTACTTACACACCAGTGTCCACGCTGTTCCTCAGATGTCCCTTGCCTTAAGGTTTTAGAAGATGCTGTTCCTTCTGTCTGTTTTTCTCTTACCTCAGATATCCACATGATATATTTCTTCACCTCCTTTAGACTTCTGCTCAGTGGTTAACCTCTCAGTGAAGCCCTTCTTAACTATCCTATTCAAAATTGTAACACCTCCTTTCTTAAGTCCAATACTCCTTATTCATGCCATCCCTGATTTAATTTCTCATTCCATATCACTTGTCACCAATTAATCTTTTATATATAATTAAATATGAATATAAATATACACATGTTGCTGATAAGTATTATCGAGTTGGTTCCCACTCACAGTGACCCCATATAGGATTTCTGAGGCTGTGAATCTTTCCAAGAACATAAAGTCTCATCTTTTCTACTGAAGTGATTGGTGGGCTTCAACTGCTGACCTTCTGGTTCGCAGTCCAGTGTTTATCCTACAGGGTCACTGAAGTCCCCTTTCCCTCATATGCAATTAGCAGCCCAGTGTGTGTGTGTTCCCCTAGTAGTGTAGTGGATTATGAGCAGGCCTGCTAAATGTATCTTAGCAGTTCAAATCTACCAGTTGCTCCATGGGAGAAAGATGAGGCTTTCTGTTCCCGTAAAGATTTATAGGGTTTTTATGAGTCTGAACTGACTTAGTGGCACATCATCACCACCACCATATATATAGAGAGTCCTGGTGTAGCACCACAGGATAATGCAATGGACTGCAAGGTCAGTTTGAGCCACAAAGTCTGTGGTTCAAATTCACCAAGCTGCTCCTTAGAAATCCTAATCAGGGTCATTATGAGTCAGAATCTACTTGATGGCACATAACAGCAACAATATATACATACATATATGTAAGGATTTCTGTTGTGGTACTATAGAATAAGCACTGGACTGCTAACTGCAAGATTAGTGGTTCAAACCCACCAGTTACTCTTACTTGTTTATTTCTGGTTTCCTTCATTAGAACATAAACTCTACAAGTCTAAGTATTTTTGTCGGGTTTATTCACTGATGTCTCCCCAGTGCTTGGAATAGTACCTAACCCATAGTACAAACATACTGCCATTGAGTTGATTCTGACTCATAGTGACCCCTATAGGACAGAGTAAAGTTCCTCAATAAATCTTGCTGAATGAATGTTGTTGTTGTTAAGTGTCGTTGAGTTGGTTCCAACCCATAGCGACCCTGTAGAGGGTTTCCAAGGAGCAACTGGTGAGCTTAAACTTCCAACCTTGCAGTGCAAACCGACTTTGTAGTCTAGCGCATTAACTCACAGTGTCACACCAGGACTCCTCATTTAATTCTATAACTCTATGAGCTAGAATGAAGAATTGATGCTTTGAATTATGGTGCCGGTAAAGCATACAAGGACTGCCAGAAGAATGAACAAATCTGTCTTGGAGGAAGTACAGCCAGAATGCTTAGCAAGGATGACGAAACTTTGTCTCATGTACTTTGGAACATGTTATCAGGAAGGGCCAGTCCCTGGAGAAGGATATCATGCTTGGTAGATGGTTAGCAAAAAAAAAGAAGACTCTTAACAAGATGGCTTGACACAGTGGTTGCAACAATGGGCTCAAATATGACAACAATTGTGAATATGTTTTGTTCTATTGTACATAGGGTTACTATGAGTCAGAACTGACTCGATAGTGCCTAACAATAGCATGAGCTAGAAAATATGTTTGCCTGTTTTTATAGAAGGGAAAACTGGGGTCCAGAAAGGTTAAGCTACTTTCCCAAGCTTGCACAGCTATTATGTTGAGGAGCTATGACTCAGACTAGGTCTATCTGATTTGAGTTCCTGTTCTTCTAACCACTATACTACACTGCTTTATCCATACTGCTTCTTGGATTCCAAGGTATATTGAGCTCCCACCAGGCCCCCAAGTAGACTTTCTTAGAAGGTGGTTGAGGTTCTGTAAGTAAAGTCCAGTTTGACTCACGTACAGGAGAGGAAGTGCTGAGAACCTGGCCCAAAGTCTCGGTGGGCATCCTGGAGCTGCTTAAGCCTCTCACTAACTGAAACCTATGGAAAGAACAGGTAAAAATTAAGTGAATTCATTCCAGATATTTAGTGTGGGATATCTACACACTCCAGGTATGTTCATGAACTCCCTTATACACCCACTGCCATTGAGTCGATTCCAACTCACAGCAACTACTATGTAAGTATTATACTACTATACAGACAGAATAGTAAGACAGAATAGAACTGCTTGGAAACTCCTTAGAATTTCCAAGACTGTAAATATTTATGTGAGCAAAAAGCCTCATCTTTCTCCTGAGGAGCCGCTGGTGGGTCTGAAGCGCTGACCTTATGGTTAGCAGCCTAATGCTTGACCCACTACATTACCAGGACTCCTTCAACTCCCTAGTTGTTGTTGTTAAGTACTGGTGAGTCCGTTTTGACTCACAGTGACCCTGTATAGGGTGTCCAAGGAGCAGCTTGTGGTTCTCATTCCAGTGTTGGACCTATAGCGCCACACCAGAACTACCTAGTAGATAGGTTTTTCTCCAATTTCTGCTCCTCTCACAATCATCCAACCCCTCTTACTCCATAGAACTCCAAGGGTCAGAAAAGAATATCCTCAATTCTGGCCATAGAAGCTCTTCATTTTCCCCTGTATATCCTAAATGCCCAAATCTAAACAGACATCTCTTATTGCTTCATTTCAATCATTTCCTGAAGTTTAGAGGGTGAGAGTCCTGTTCCCTTATCCTAAATTTTCTGCTACCATTTTCCCATGTGATCTCATTTCAATACACCCTTCATTCACTATGGGCCTGCAAAATCTTCCCTCAAGCCTCCTTATACTGAGGCTCTTTTTTTCTCACTCCAGTCTGCTCTTCTACCTGTAGCTGTTTCCACCGGGTGTTGATCTGCTCCAGAGCCCGAGAATTTTCCATTGATAAATGTACATCAGATATAGCAAGTTGGTGGGCCAAATCATTCACCAACTTGACTCCATCTTTCATGGGAGAGAATTCTTCTTTAAATAGCTGTAAAATTAGAACCCAAATTACAAAACAGACCAAGAGTGGAGAGGAGGAACCATTAGTCATTCCCTTGAACTCCTCCCTCCTTACTCAGGGATTTGTTTCAACACAATCTAGGTACCTGACTATTAGGGCAACTGGACCAAGACATGCGTGGCCACTGTTCTTACCCTTTGCCTTGCCTTCTTTCAATAAACACAAAGGAAAGAGCAGACAGCAGAAGGAGAGAAGAGACTGGAGCCAAACCAACCCCCAAGTTCAAGCACAAACTGAGGAGGGCACAATAGAACAGGCTGACAATGGGATAACAGCATCAGGAATATTGTCAGAGTCTGGGAAGAGCATCAGGTCTCAGAGTGGTCTGTAGCTAGGTGAGGGGGCTCAGCATACCTTAAGACCCTGGATGTGTTCAGGGAGTGAATCAATGAAGAGATCCCCAATGGGCTCCCACGTAGCTCGCACTCCTTCAGTCTGGGTCAGAGTAGTACTTAATTCTTCCATTGCCCCTTGGATCTCCAACAGCTGCTCCAGAGTACGCTCAATGTGACGGTGCTGGTCTACACAGCGTGCTGTGAGTTTTTCCCATAGTTCACTAGCAACTGTCGCCTGCTTCCATACAAAGCGGCTAAGATTCTGAATCTGTTGTCTGGGGGAGTTATCTATAAGGGAAGGCAGGAAGGCAGGTCAGACTAACCTGGCAGGGGTAGCTCAGGGGCCAGGAAAAGACAGACAACCAACCCTTCATAAAATATATATGTGTATGTGCATACATTCACATTTGGGTTAGTGTATATAACCATACACAAAGAAATATACATTTGTCCATGGTTGAGGTTTATTTTTTGCATATTTAGTTTAATTTTGGATTGATTTTTATTAAACTTGCTATTTTGAGATAATTGTAGATATACATGTAGTTGTAAGAAATAAAACAAAAAGGTACCATGAACATTTTATCCAGTTTCACTAAATGATAACATCATGCAAAACTATAGTGCAGTATCATGACCAGGAAATACTATTTTTTTCCTGGTCCCTCCTGATAACATGTCCAAAGAACATGAGGTGAAGTCCCACCATCTTCCCTTCTTAGCAGCATTCTGGCTATACTTCTTCTAAGACAGATTTCTTCATTCTTCTGGCATCCATGGTATATTCAATATTCTTTGCCAACAATAATTCAAATGCATCAGTTCTTTTCTGCTCTTCCTTATTCACTGTACAAATTTTACATGCATATGAAGTGATTGAAAATACCATGGCTTGGCTCAGGTATACCTTACTCCTCAAACTGATATCTTTGTTATTTAGCACCTTAAAGAAGTCTTTTGCAGCATATTTGCCCAATTCAGTATGTCCTTTCATTTCTTGACTGTTGCTTCCTTGGGCATTGATTGTGGATCCAAGTAAAATGAAATCTACTTTACTATACTAGGAGCCCTGGTGTTGCATTATAGAATAAGCACTGGACTAGTAACTGCAAGGTCACTAATTCAAACCCAACAGCTGTTCTTGGAAATCCTAAAACAGGATCACTATGAAACAGAAGTGACTCAATGGAAAACAACAACAAAAATACTCTACTATACTATTGTTGTTGAAGAGCAGAGATGTCAGCTTGAGGACTAAGGTGTGCCTGACCCAGGCCCATTGTGTTTTCAATAGCCTCATATGGATGCGAAAGCTGGACAGTGAATAAGGAAGATTGTAGAAGAATTGATGCCTTTGAGTTGTCGTGTTGGAGGAGAATACTGAAAGTGCCATGGACTGCCAAAAGAACCAATAGATCTGTTTTGGAGGAAGTGCAGCCAGAGTGCTCCTTGGAGGCCAGGATGGCTAAGCTTCGTCTCTCCTACTTTGGACATATTGTCCGGAAAAGGATGTCATGCTGGGTAGGGTGGAGGGTCAGAGAAAAAGAGGAAGACCCCCAACGAGATGGATCAGCCAGGTGGCATTATTGATGGCGTCAAGTGTGGCAGCGGTAGTGAGGTTGGCCCAGGATAGGACATTGTTTCGTTCTGCTGTGCAATGGGGTCGCTATGAGTCGGTTCCGACTCGATGGCACCTGACAACAACAATACTATTGTTGTTCTTCTTCAGTGCTGTAGAGTAGCTTCTGACTCATAGTGGCCCTGTATACGGTTTCTGAGGAGCTGCTGGTAGGTTTTAACCACTGACAATACACTTTTGTTGTTGTTAAGTTCTGTCAAATTGGTTCCAACTTAGAGCAATCCTGCATAGGGTTTCCAAGGAGTGATGGGTTTGTGTAAACCTCTGACATTGCGGTTAGCAGTGCAGTGCTTATCCTACAGCACCACACAAGGACTCCCAAATAAGATTGATGGGTTGTGATATTATACTATCCTGGATTGGCGGTATAAGGTAAGTACTGAACTACTAACCATAAGCTAACCTCAAGGTTGGTGGCTCAAGCCCATTAGCTGCTCCAAAGAAGAAAGATAAGGCTTTCTGCTCCCACAAAGATTTAAAGCCTCAGAAGCCCTATACAGGATCATTTTAAGTTGGAACCAATGCAACAACACTTAACAACAACAACATAGTATATATAGGAGTCCTCAAAGTTGGCAGTTCAAATGCACCAGCTGCTCCTTAGAAATCCTATACAGGGTCACTATGAGTTAGAATAGACTCAACAGCACTTAACAACAACAATAGAATATATAATACATAATGTATTATGCTGTGTTTCTGCTGTGTGCTGTGGAGTCAGTTCCAACTCAGAGCAACCCTGCATAGGGCTTCTGAGGCTGTATATCTTTATAGAAGCAGAAAATCTCATCTTTCTCCTAAATTGCAACTGGAGGATCCGAACTACTGACCTTGCAGTTAGCAGACCAATGCACAGTCCACTGTGCAACTAGTACCAATCTTACTCAGTTTCCCAGTAGTAGTTGTATTCATCTGTAGACGAGTGCATTTAGTTCTATGCAATTTTATCAAACATGTAAGGTTATGTCATGTATCTACCATCACAGTCAAGGTATCTCTTAAGTTCTACTTATACATATATGCATGTACATAGATTCCCACTTGGAGTACTGGTGTGGCTCTGTGGGCTAATGCACTGGACTGCATAGTCACTATGATCCACAAGGTCGGTGGCTCAAGCTCACCAGCTGTTCCTTGGAAACTCAATACAAGGTTGCTATGGGTGGGAACTGACTTGTTAACAACAACAACATTCCCACTTACTGTACTGTGCCCATATTCTTGAAAATTAGGCAAAGTAAATAGTGAGTCAAATTTTTAAGGGGCATAGTAAAGCAAATCCTTCAAAGTCATATTTATATGACTCTGGGATGTGACTTTACATAGATGTCTGCTGCCCACATCAATCCAAAGAAGGAAGACATTTTATGACGATCCAGCCCCAAAGAGGTTAGTATACCATGCCCAACTTTTCCACATAGTATCCTAAATGTTAGGTTTTCTTCTTCCTCCCTCAGACCTCCCTTCAAATACAGATTCAAAGCCCTCAAAGGCCCAAGATAACTTGAATTTGTGCTGATCTCTCTTGAGTTTGTACTATCTGGGGCTCATTGTATAACAAATTAGGAACCTCAGTCCTTCTACTGAGGCACTAGAAGAAAGCGAAAAGGGTAAACAGCAATGACAAAAGCCTCTGTTAATGAAGGGTCCTTCCAGGTCCTATTCATAGTCTCTCTCAAAAGGTTAAAGACCCTTTTTGGAGAAGACTTGCTGGGTCAATACTCAGACCTAATCACTAGGAGTCCTGATGTGGCACTATGGGATTATACCCTGGACTGCAAGGTAGGTTTGAACCGCAAGGTTGGCTGTTCAAATTCACCAGAGTCAGAACGGGCTCGATGGGTCTTAGCAACAACAGCCACAATCTACTAGGAAACCTATCCTGTTGCTTATGTGAATATAAACCTAGAGTGGCCCACTCTACTAAGAAAAGGGGCCAAAATTCACTAGGGTCAATATCAAAGAGCCACAGTCAATTTTCTTCCCAATTGTTATTACCTAATGCTTTAGATTTTAAAAAGCACTTTTACACAATCCTTAGTTTTTACTTTTACACAACAGTTAGTTTCCCATCACCTTTAACAGAAGCTCGGTGTCTTCTGTTAAGGATGATAGAAAACTATGCGAACAATTAATGGTGGTGGTTGAACAATATGATAAATTTATTTAACATCACTGGTTACGAGTTGGGCTGCTAACCTCAAGGTCAGCAGATTGAAACTACCAGCTGTTCCGTTGGAGAAGGATGCGACTTTCTGGTCTCATAAAGATTTATAGCCTCAGAAACCCTATACAGGGTCTCTATGAGTTGGGACTGACTCCATGGCACATAGTCAACCAACAAAAGTGTACATGTAAAGATTGTTGAAATGGGAAATGATTTATTAATTATATATTAACCAAAAATATATTAAATACAAAAATACTCCAGCAAAACATTTTTAAGAGTCTCTTATACATAATGATGATTAGAGCATATCGGCACATGTCTTTATATGTTGGAATAAAACAGTATGTCTTTTCAAGGACAATACTACTCTTTATAGTCCGAGGTGTGGCTGGTGAGTTTGAACCAATCTTGTGCTTCAAACCAACTTTGCAGTCCAATGCAATATCCTGCAGCGCCCGTCAGTTAAATTCATTGGAGTCATGTTCTTTTTCACATATGATTAAAAAGCCACACATGATGGTCCACAGAGCCACATACAGCTTTGATTCACATGCTGGTCACCCAACTCCAGTTTATGTTCCCTTTGCTTTTTCTTGCAGTATGAATCTTGCTCCTCCCTTTAGACTCACAGGAGAAAGCTGAGACAATGAGTTTGGTGAATGGAGGAAGGTGTTTAATGATACATAGATCAAGAAGTGTGAAGAGAAGAAGAGTACTCACCTTTACGCTCTGAACGAGGCTCCTCTAATTCTTCAAATGGGTGCTGGGACAGAAAAGCCTGAGCCGACTCTAGCACGGAGTAGATATAGGGGCCCCGAGATTTAACTTCTTCCATAAAGGCCTGTGAAGGTTAGCAATATGGTAAACAGGAAAATAAAGTCTTTCACTCACTCTAAATTCTATGCTGCAACTGACAACTGTTCTTCTCTTTAGTGCAATTTGGCACTATCATGAATTTTGGGGCTATCCAGGAAGAAAGAGCTGTAGTCCTTCCTATACCCATTGTCATAGAGTCAATTCCAATTCATAGTGACACAATAAGACCAAGTAGAACTACCTAGAGAGTTTTCAAGGCTGTGACTCTTTCCAGGAACCGATTGCCACATCTTTCTCCTACAGAGCAGCTGGTGGGTTCGAGCTGCTGATCTTTCAGTTAGCAGCTGAGAGCGTAGCCATTATCAAAGCTCCCAGTTATTTCTATAGGCAGAGGAATAACTTTCTGACACTGACAGAATTTACTATGAAATTGGAGTCCTGGTGTGGTGTTGTAGGATAAGCACTAGACTTCAAGGTAGGTTTTAACTATAAGGTCGTTGGTTCAAACCCACCAGCTGCTCCTCAGAAGCCCTCTACAGGGTGCTATGACTTGGAACTGACTCAACAGCACTTAGCAACAGCAACAACTATGCAACAATAGGTGTCCTTGGGTGGTGCAAATGGTTGAGCACTAGACTACTAATTAAAAGGTTGGTGGCTTGAACCCACTCAGAGGTGCCTCAGAAGACAGGGCCTAGTAATTGGCTTCTGAAAGTTCACAGCTATGAAAACCCTACTGGCTGCAGCTTTGCTCTACAGCACATGGGGTTAGCATATATTGGAATTGACTCCACAGCAGCTGTTCGTTTTTGCTGTTGTTGTTTTATGCCACTGGGCAGAGAGAAGTGTGGGCAGGGATTTGGGGCTGGGGATCTTGGTTCTCTAGATGACTCAGAAAGTCCCCTATAAGAAGCTTGTTGTTGTTGTTGTTATGTGTCGTGGAGTCGGTTTTGACTCATAGCAACCCTGTACAGGGTTTCCGAGGCTGCAAACCTTTATGGGAGCAGAAAGCCTCATCTTTCTCCCATGGAACAGCTGGTAGTTTCGAACTGCTGACCCTGAGGTTCACAGTCTGATTTGTAACCACTACCCTACCAGAGCTATAAGAAGCTTAGAGAAATCAAAATCAGGATGGGCAGAATTTGTCTTAAGTTTTAGATTAAATTTGTTGAAATATGAGGGGATTTCAAAAAATTCATTGAAAATTGGAATGAAAAGATAACCGATTTTTTCCCACAGACCTTTTGAAGCCCCCTCATATAAAAGACACAAATTATGAGTGCACATCTTGATGATTTTTCATAAAATGATTCCATCTGTGCTATAGCTGAGAGTGAAGCATCCAGCTGATATGAAGCGAGGGGAGATGCACAAGAACACCCAAACTTGCAGACAGTACCCATGTGACTTAGCCTTAATGGCTTGATAATTAGAACTCGACTAGAGGAAGATTACACACACACACACACACACACACAAAAAGGAGCAAAATAATTTTTGATAAAGGAAATGAGGGTAAATTGCTACAATTCGATGAACTTTACCTATACTCATGGAGGTTTGTTGTTGTTGTTGTTAAGTGCCATCAAGCGACCCTGAACAGGGTTTCCGAGGCTGCAAATCTTTATGGGAGCAGAAAGCCTTATCTTTCTCCCGCGGAGCAGCTGGTAGTTTCGAACTGCTGACCTTGCAGTTCGCAGCCTGAATCGTAACCACTATGCTACCAGAGCTCCTAGTAACTCTAAATACCAACAGAGAGGGAAGGCGTCTTCACATCAAGTATCAATGCTATCCTCTCTGTACACAGGGTAGATAGGGATGGGCAACTTAGACATTGGTTACCTAAAATGAGGAGGTGATAAAGGCATGAAGTGACTGGTTTACAAGGTTTCAAGAGGGAGTTCGGTTTACAAGTGTGTGGGGGAAGAAAGAGTCCTCACTGAATAGTTTTCATCTTGTCTAGATGGGACTGGTTACAAGAGATGGGGATAAGAGTCTTATGATTCAATAGTGAGTAATTGTTATCATGATTAATTGTGATGGTCACAATTGTAAAGGTAGAAGTTTTGTACCAAAAATGGAGGAGTAGTTAATCTTACAGTCCAGAAACAAAGGACCCTAGAACCATCAAGGGAAAAGAGCACAAGTGGAATACAAGACCTTATCCAGAGAAGCTGCGACACCAGAGATGGAGGCAGAGATGGGGACATGGAGAGAGGGAGCAGCTGAGGATTCTAGATTCATGGGAAGAGAGGAACTAAGAGATGGCAGCCAGGAGGCAGACTTGCAGAATGTGCCCTTTGGTAGTGTAAATTATTATATATGCCTGAGCAGTTTTTTTTTTGTTTTGTTTTGTTTTTAAAGAACAGCTAAAATGAATGGAGAGAAATACTGTTAACTGATGGTACATGGAGGAGATTGTAATCATGGTAATGAAACAAGGTGTATGATTTGTTGAATGTAAAACTGATGATCTGCCCTGTAAACTTTTACTCAATCCACAGTAAAAACCTTAAAACAACAACAACAACAAAAGATTCCATCTGTGTAAACAGTACACAGCTCAAGAAGCAGAACTCTACTAGCATCTCAGAAGGTGCCCTGACACCTCCTTCTAGTCACTATCCTATCCTTAAACAACCAAACAACAACAACAACAAAGCCCGTTGCTGTTGAGTTGACCTCACAGTCCCATGTGAGTGAGGATGGAACTGTGCTACACAGGGTTTTCAATGGCTGTGATTTTTCAGAAACAGATTACCAGTCCTTTCTTCTGAGGTATTTCTGGGTGTGTTTAAACTGCCAACCTTTTAGTTAGTAGTAGAGTGCTTAACCCAGGGAGGGGCTCCTACCCCACCCTTACACTCCCCCACTTCCTCAAAACAACAACAATAATAACAAACAACGACAAAAAAAAACCAGTTGCCTTCAAGTAGATTCCACCTCTTGGTGATCCCATATGTATCTGAGTGGAACTATGCACCATAAGATTTTCAATAGATATTTTTTTGAAATTAGATTGTCAGGCTTCTCTTCCAAATTGTCTCTGGGTGGACTTGAACTGTTAACCTCTCAGTTCACAGCTGAGCATGTTAACTCTTTGTACCACCTAGGGATTTCTTATCTCCAAAGGTAACCACTAGTTTTGAACTTTATATAAATGGAATTTTACAGTATGTATTTTTTTGTATCTGTTATTGTCACTATTTGTAAGATTCATTCATATTGTGATGTAGTTATTTATTTTCTTGTTATATTGTATTTCATTTAAAAATATTTATTTCTGATTATAAAGGCAATGTAAGCCGTAGAACTCTTAAGCAATTTCACAAAAATATAAGGAAGAAAATGAGAAACATTTGTCGTTTCAATACCTAGGATTAATATTGTTAATCCTTTGCTATATTTTCTTCCTATATTTTGATATATGCACATACACATCTATGTTCTTTTTTTTAAATGTTTTATTGTGAATTATGTGATAGTTTACATGGGAGAACATTAGCTTTACATTCATCCTATCGTATATCATTTCATTGCCATGGTTACCATTCCTTCCATGTATCAGCAACCAACCAAAGGGTATACACTGCAAGCCTGCCCCCCCAGGTCATCAGCACACACCCCTCTCCCTCTCTGGGTCTAAAGTCCCCAGCCACTCCATCTCTTCACATCTCTGCCTCCATCTCTGGAGTCACTGCTTCTCTGGGTAGGGTCCCGCTCTCCACTCTTCTCCCTTGATTGTCCCAGGGACCTCTGCTCCTAGACAGCAAAGTCAACCACTCTCCTCCTTTTGCTACAAAACGTCTACCTTTACATTTCCAACCCTCAAAATCACTCCTGATAACAATTACTCACTATTGTGTCACAAGAGACCTATCCACATCTCCTTTCATCAGCCCTGCCTAGACAGATTGGACACTACTCAATGGAGAGTCTACCTTCCTCCATGCCCTCTGGATCTAGGCTCCCTCTTGAAAGCTTGTAAGCCAATCACTTCTTGCCTTTGTAGCCCCCCCATTTTGGGTAGCCAATGTCCAAGTTGCCCATCCCTGTCTATTCTGTGTATGGACGGGGTGGGAATGATCTTTGCTGTAAAGATTTGTTCCCTCTTTTGAAGTACTGCATCCATAGGTGTAGGTCAAGTTCATCAAATTGTGTCAGATTACTCTTCTATGTTCTTTTTAGTGCAATTGAGATCCATATGTTTGAGGAGGCTTATAAAAGTTCATGGAGAAATTTCTTTATCTTTTAATGCCATTTTTCATGAAGTTTTTGAAGTCCCCTCATATATAGTTTTGTTTTTCACTTAACACTATATTATGATAATTTCCCCTCATGATCCCCAATAAAAATCAGGGCAAATTTTTAATATTTGATGGGAGGAATAGAAAGGAACGCTTTGACTAATTCTGTGGACAGCATTAGACAGGTAGGACAGCATATAACCTCCTGTTACTTTAGGTATCTAAGCAAAAGTTGGGTACCTGTCTGTCAGGGTACTGAGGAGGGATCCCTCGCCCAACTGAGAGGCTAAACACTGTAGTCCCTATAATTCAAACCTACCGCATGTGTTTCCTTCTCCTGTTGCACCAGGGCCACATCCCCTTGTAAGGGCAGCTGAGCTGACAACTCTTCATCCTTTTGGCTGAGCCAGTCAATAATCTCTTGGAGAGGGAGCTGAAGCTTTCCACTGTGGTCTGAAAAGGCCTCTAGGCGAGCACTGCACATAATGGATAAAACCAATGATTTTCAATCTTCACTCTTCTTAAGTGGTAAAACATTTTTTTCCAAAATACTTATGTGAAACTTTAATATTTAACACAGATTAAAGAGGATCTAAACTCTGGTAGCGTAGTGGTTACAAATCGGGCTGCCAACCTCAAGGTCTGCAGTTCGAAACTACCAGCAGTTCCACGGGAGAAAGATGAGGCGTTCTGCTCCCGTAAAGATTTACAGCCTCGGAAACCCTGTGCAGGGTCACTATGAGTCAGGAGCGACTCCACGATACTTAACAACAACAACAACAACTCTGGTTGGAGTGGAAAGGGACCGGTATCTCCTCGTCACCTATCACAAAGGCTCTTGAGATATCTTCACATGGCACTAAAAAGTGGGCAGGACCATGGATGGGGATGGTGAGGTAAAAGTCACTGTGTGATCCTCAGTTAATTCAGGTGCATCAGGCTGGAAAGGGTAGGAAATTGAGCAGGGGCATTAGGGGATGACAGTTGTCCGGTTCCACTCTTACCCTGGCAGGATTCAAGTCATGTTCAATTACTTAGCCCAAGACTACCCAGAGTCTAGCCTCAGAGCAGAGAGGATGCTGGTAAGTGGAAGGGCACATTTTACGGCTGTGTGTGTCTGCCTACACATGTGCAAGAAGACATAAAAACATAACTAGCTCAAGGGTCCCAATGGGTGACAACAACATAGGATAGAGGATTGAGATACAGGGAAGAAAATTATCTCTGTCTGCCTGCCCGCACAAATGAACAAGTAACAAGAATCAGGAGGATGACCCACGGTTATATGTAGCCATCAAGCACATTCCTCTTGGTTGATAATAATAATTATCTTTATTCATTGCTTCCCTACTGCCCGGGTCAAGTCTTTTACCTAAATTATTGCTTCAGTGAATTCTCACTGAATAGGCACCACTTTTACCAAGAGAAGTCAAGTTATTTGCCCACAGTTATGCCATTAGTTGAACTATGATTTGAACACAGGTTTGTTTGAACCTCCATTCTTTCAACTTCTCTATACTGTCCTACCCCACCAAAGCCCAGGAGTTTGGGCTTTGATGAGAGGACATGGAAAGGAGTAGGAAGGGTACAGGGGTAGGGAAAAAAGGAGCAACTAATATAGAAACTTCCTTCAAACTCTTACTGAGTTGTTATTAGTTTAGGGAGGAATAGGTGGGCTGATAACCAATGGATGCAAGTAGAGGACATTTAAAAAATTGGGAAGGAAAGTAGATAAGACCCTTGGGGATGCAGAACAGTTATGAGAGAAAGAAGAGGAGGTAACGATCATTTTCTTCATTTATATATCAACATTTTTATGTTTACAAAGCATTTTCGTATCTTATGAGAATTCTCACCACAACACCATGAAGTAGTTAAAACAGATATTATTTCTCCATTCATTCTCCTTTTTTCTTAAACAAACAAAACAAAGTGGAAGTTAAAATTCAGAGAACTCAAATAATATATCCCAGGTGACACTGCTACTTCAAACTGGAGCTCAACTTGAAGTCTCTTGCCTTCTAATCCAGAGTGCTCTCCCCAGTGCCAAAGAAGAAGAGAGAAACAGATGCAAAGGGTGGTACACATGGTAAGAGGAAAAAGCAAGTGTAGCAGCTTAAAGAAGTCCAATGTTATCTAAGCCTTTCTCTAAAGTCCATTTCTAGTGAGTGGACCTTACCGGAGGTTGTGAGACTTCTTTTTAATTTCATTCCAACACAGATTCATGGCTGCCGGTTCCAAGGGTCCAGAGACACCAAGAGACCCGCTAAACAGCTTTGGACTTAGGCAGGAAGCCCCAGCACCATCCTGAGGAAGCACAGGGGCAGCAGTAGTAGCTCTAACCTGGAGAGAAACACAGACATCCAAGCACATAAACAGCTGTGAGTCCTATAGTGTGCCACACCTTGGTCTGCATCAAACTAAGAGTGGAACAACTATGAACAAGAGGAGAGAAGGGCTGGTTTGAGAGCTCAGAAATCCTGTTCTCTGCATGCGTGTTCAGTGGGGAGGAGGTTCAGGTCCTCTCTTGACAAAGGTCAGTCACATATGACTGACTTTTATTATTACTCTTTTTTTTTTTTTTTAAGTTTTTGTTGTGAATTGAGTGCTAGTTTACTTGGGAGAACATCAGTTTTACACTCATCGTTTCGTTGCAATGATTACAATCTCCTCTGTGCATTCAACAGTATTTCCTTCTATTCCCCCTGGGTTTTTGGGGAGGAGGGGGGCATGTACACAAAAACACTCAGGAATATATAATAATTTAAACAACCAAAGGGCACATTCTATAAGTCTGCCTCCTGGCCGTCAGCACTCAGTCTTTCTTACTTTGATGATTACTCTTAACATTATAAATTCTGACAGTGACTACTGCCCAGATGGCATCCTGGGAGTACTTGCTTAGGTAACAAGCTACTCAGAATTACCCAGTCACTGGTATTTTCCCTCAAGGTGAGTGATAGGCTCATACCTCACGTTCCTACAGTTTTATCAAACCTTTGAGATAAGAAAACTGAGGGGTTGCCCCATAAAGAGTCAGAGAGGAAGTAGAACAGCCAGAAAGAGCTATCAGTAGTAGATATTCTACTTCCCAACTGGACCTAGGTCTTGATGCCCCCTCTTCCCTTCCTTACTCTCATTTCCCACCATCAGTCAGGCAGTCCGTAAATAGTCTTAAAGAACGTTATTCACCTTCCAGTGACTGAGAACGAATGAAAGCAGCATTTTGGACCCTGATCTCCAAAATACTCTGCCCAGAGTCAGCAGCTAAGAGAAGAAGCCATGTTATTGTTGGGTACCATCGAGTCAATTCCAACTTAGGTTGACCCTGCATAACAGAGTAGAACTTCCCCATAGCATTTTCCTGGCTCTAATCTTTATAGAAGCAGATATCCTGGTTTTTCTCCATGGAACTGCTGGGTGAATTCAAACCAGTAACCTTTCAGTTAACCGTCAAGCGTTTAACTATTTGTGCCACCAGGATTTCTTGAACCAGCCACAGAGTTACCAAAGTTTAGCCTTATACCCTCAAACTCATATAATCCATCACTTGGTCTCCCTAGCATTGAAATGGCCCTGTGGGCATTGTGGGGCTTTGGGGGAATAGTGTTTATACCAAATAGCCTTTAAGAAGTTAGTGCTTACAGCACATTGCCAGAACTGCCCAGTCAGTAGGGGGAAGAGGAGTGTGGAGGAGGGTACCACACTCCTGTCTGCTCACCTGTCTACCTGCTTGCCTTCTTGTGGAAAGAAAATAGCCCTATTGGTGGTGGTGATGATGTGCCGTGGAGTCGATTCCGACTCATAGCGACCCTGTACAGGATTTCCGAGGCTGTATATCTTTACAGGAGCAGAAAGCCTCATCTCTCTCCTGCGGAACAGCTGGCAGTTTTGAACTGCTGACCTTGAAGTTTGCAGCCCGATTAGTAACTACTGGGGTTGTCAATCCTCAAATCTCTCTTTTACCCCAAACCTACTTTCTTCCCACACAAGACTCTCCAGGCAATTTAGGAAGCCGATTGTCTCATAAAAACCACAGTTCTCAGTCACAAACTGAAAGGGAAGTGAGGACATGAGAGCAGCCAAGCTTAGGGCTTCTGCATGTCTGCCAGCCAGGGAACCATAGCCAGCTTCCATTCACCATCTGTGGTAAGGTTATGAACTCGGCTGCCTGCTCAGGGGGACCCCCATGAGCTGACCCTACCTGTGCTGCCCGGGAGCTCTGTTGCAGGATTGGGCAGCTCCATGATTACCCCTCAGCCTGAATCCTTCTGCCCAGTCTGATGCCTGGTGAGCTGCATGCAAAGTTCTGCCAGGTTCTGAGTAAGCCTGCACAGTAAGAGCAGGCAGAGCTGAACCGGGACAGGAGGCGGGAGCTGTCATCCTGTTTGTTTACTGACCCCCCAGGAATCTGGAGGGGGCGGCTATGTCAGGATTTGGCCAGTGAATCAGAGCTTTGTCGCTGGGGAATTCCGGCTCTCTCCCAATTGGGCCCGCCACACTGGGGCCAGGATGGCCCTCCCAGCCTGGCAAGGAGGACAGGAGTGGGACTGGACATTCCATGGTGCTGAGGAGAGGCATTTAGAGAGTAGTTTCTGTTGATTTCTTTTCCCTTTCCCTGGAAGACACAATGGACTCAATCTGCCTCCAGGCCTATCCCTACCCTAAGGTAGAAGGAAGATCAGACCACTTGGGTGAGAACAATTCTCCCAAAGTCTAACAAGAGGATGGACTTGGGAAATGCACCTAGGTAGGTGTCAGTTAAGCACTCGACTACTAACTGAAAGGTTGGCAGTTTGAACCCACTCAGAGGCACCTTGGAAGACAGGACTGGAGATGTACTTTGCAAAACGTCATGGCCATTGAAAACCTTATGGCACAGTGGTTCTATTCCGCATACACGGAACCACCATAATTCAGAATTGACTTGATGGCAACTAACAACAGCAAGCATCCTCAGAGGCAGTGAGGCACATCTGGAAGCAAAGTGGTGGGACTGCAGGATTGAGAAGCTGGGGCAGCAGAAGGCCTCCGAATTTGATTATCCTCAGATGAGTGCAAGGGCCAGAAAATACATCAGGGTCAATTGAGTGAAAATGAGGGACTGTTTTGCAGTGCCTTTGGGTGGCAAACAAGAGAGGAGAGAGAGCCATATTCTTCCAGACCTCTCTCTGCACTCTGAAATCAGGGTGAGAAGGGTGGTCTGTGGACTTCCCTTTGGAAAGAAATGGGAAAATGAAACCCTATAGCTCCATGCAAGGATCTAGTGTCAAGGAGGCTGCCATGACCTGCCTGTGCTGCCTTAGGCAGGGTGGAGGGGGCATTCCCATAAGCCACTGGCCTGAGGGACAGGGCCCCTCCTGGAAATTACCACTTGTCTCCTTCTCTAACAGACTTGCCTGGGCAAAGGTTAACATTCCAGAGCTGGGCCCCCACCCCTCAGCACTGAGGGAAAACACTTCATTTTTACCAAATAGGGTTCTGTTCCCATCCTCATTTATCTCCCACAGAGTCTTCTGAGCTTTCTACAGTTCAACATTGTTTCCATGCTGAAGCCCACCTACAGGAATAGTTGGAACAGCTGCCTGACCCTTTCTAGGGGTTCTGAGGTGGAGCCAATTGTGATGGATGGGGAATGGCAAGGCCAAGAGAGGGGTGTGGCTCTAGCTTCACTTAGGCTAGGATAATTGGGCTCAAGCCAGATTTAAGAGTTCTCTGAACTGGGAATGCCCCAGAGCTAGAAGCAGCTCCCTTGTAACCTAGTCACAACCAAGCTGTCCTGGCTCTGGTTAGCTTTTCCAGACATCTCAGTTTCCTAACCCCACCAGCTTCTGTACTATTCTCTACCACCCTGCTCTCTTTTCTTTTCCCTTTAATCTCGTAAATCCCACCTAGCAGAGCCAATGTTGTTGTTTGGTGCTGTCAATTCAATTTCTACTCATAGTGACTCCATGTGACAGAGCAAAACTGTCCTACAGGGGTTTCTAGGCTGTAATCTATATGGGAACAGATTGCCAGTATTTTCTTCTGAGGATCAATTGGATGGGTTTAAACCAATGACATTTAGGTTGGCAGCCTAGCACTTAACTGTCATGCCATCAGGGTTGCAAGTAATCATTTTCTTTTCCTTTCTCTATCAATTGCTTTCTACTTCTTGCTTTTACAGCGAAAATGATTGCTTCCCAGTCCCCATTCCCTGCAGGTCATCTACACATTTCTTGAACCTTTGAGAAAAAGTAAGGGCAGTGGGGAAGGAAAAGAAACTGAATAGTGGCAGAGAGACCAAAGTCCCAATCTGCAAAAGGAGTGAATACACTGGGGGACTCCAGAGTTGACATGGCTTTTAGAAGATGTTACAGGCAATGATTTCTCTCTGGTTGACTGTGGAAAAACAGCTCAGGGAACATTACCTCTGGCTTTTATGGCTCTCAAGACTTGGCCTTTCCCTCGTCAGTCTCCTGAAAACTGGTTTGCCAGCACCCACATCCTCCATCCCCAACACCTTTATTCTTCCCTCCCTCTTCACTGTATATTTAGTTGCCACCTGCACCTCCAGACGTGACTCAGTACTGTAGTCCTATCTGTGAGGCACTAGGAGACATATTGCTTTCTCATGTTCCCGTGGCCTCTGGACCCTAAAGTATTGTGGGCTGACTCAAAATATGCTAAGCTTCTACCTTCTCCAGTCAACTTTTCTGTGTACCTTCTTCAATGTCAGGAAAGGAGACTGCCCTCTTAAGATTACTGCTTCTCATACCACCTCAAACTCCTCCTGCTCCCACGTGCCCTAGCAACATACACAAGCATGCACACATCACCACCACTCCACATCCTAGGGGAGAAGAGTAAGAAGAAAGGCAAGTATGAAGCTCAGGAAATACTTACTGAGGCTGAGCCAGGAGTTGTGTGTGAGACTAAGGACTTGAAAGGAAGAACCAACGGAAGAAAAGAGATATCTACAGAATGTGAGGTATGTTACAAAGAAGGCAGAACAAGGGAAGGTCTATCCTGGGACTTACTCTGAAAGATCACTTTCTTCTGGCACCTCCCCAGATCTGAACACCTTGGGAGGATAACATGGAATCAGTCCCCCTCAGCCATAGTGGGTGATTTGGCTTGCCTAGCCCAGTGGCCTTCCTTGCCATATGTCTACCATAGAAGGCCTCAAGATCGATAAGCCATGGGCCAAAAGGAGGCCCACATTATCCAAATGATTTAGTATATACAAATAATGTTGCTGAAGTTCAGGAAGCATGGACACTCAAGAACCCACAGATACTTTTCCTATTCTTTTGCTCTTGGTCTCTTACCTGAGGCTGGGGGCAGGCACTTCTGAGGCTGCG